TGGGAACCGGCATTGTGGCCCTTGGGTTAAATCACCCCCCTACAATGCTGGCTTCCTTTATGAGCACTGGTTCGAGTCCACTCCACTTCTAACCCTGCGAATGTGCCTGGGAAAATAGTGGAAGATGGCCCAAGTAGCTGGATCCCTGCCACCCACATGGGAAACCTGGATTAAGTTCCAGGCTCTTGGCTTCAGCCTGGCCCAGCCCTGGTCATTGCAGCCATTTGGGGAGTGAATTAGTGGATGGAAGAGTTCTCTCTCCCTCCCTCTCCATCTCTCTGTAACTCTGCCTTTCAAATAAATAAACAAACCTTTACATGAAAAGACAACTGAAGGTGGGAAACCGTGACTTAGTGACCACGTGTTGTCTACCCAGCTCTTCCTTTTGCTTGGGTTTGTCTGCCTGTAGTAGGCTAGGACTTTGTTACCATAATGAAGTTTGAAGCTGGACATCTTTTCAAAGAAAAATGATTTCTTAAGCTCACAGTAAGCGTCTGAATGTCCAAGATCAGGCAGCCCAGCCCCATTGATTCAGGTGAGGCCTTAACAGCAAAAGGCACCACAGTGGGCGTGCACGTGTGAGCTAGAGACCCCACCAGATGGGAACCCAGAGAGCCAGAGTTCCACAGTTCCTTCTGAGGCCAGTGCCTCCACCCGCCATGATCCAACAGCCTCCCACTGGGCTCCACTTCTTAACTTCTTAAAGGCGCAACGCTTCCCAACGCCACCACCCTGGGGACCCAGAGTCCAGCACACGAACCCTTAGTGGGTGCATGCAAACCACACCCATTCCACAGCAGGTGGCAAATGATGAGAAAACCCCAATGGAAGCCAATGGAAGTGAAACACGGGAAGAGAACAGGACTGGGCCAGTTTTGGGACTGGCTGGAACCGGGACTTTAACTCTGCTGGGGCCCTTGGGTTCTGATTTCTACTTCTCCTTGTGGGATTGTCACATTATTTTTGGACTGGACACAACGGCTAGCAGATCTGGATGCCGGCCCTCAGATTCTGTAACCAAGGACGAAAAGGACTCCCCTGTTCCAGATCTGGTTTAAGAATCCCCATGGAGGATGGTGGTAAAGATACGTCCCTAGACCCACCCTGGGACAGCATTCCTGCTTACTAGTTACCTCCCACAGCCTAGCAGCCTATTTTGAACAAATGGTTTTACCAATAGATGCGCGTTTGTTTCCAGAACTGGTTCTTGCATACACAGTACAAGTACAATGTCTCCAATTAGGAAATGTGTCTACGGTACACATTTTAGGGAAGTCTCATTACACTGTCCTTCCTCCACAAAGAGAGAGCATTCTACGTCCTGGGGGTGGCCTCTGGGACATGCCTCTCCACCTGCCCCCTAATCAGGATAAACACTGGTAGTGGGGGTCAAGGTAAGCACAACACAGCTGCCATCTGTAACACTGGGGAGCTCACCCCTGGTGTTCTGACCATGAACGATAGTGCTTGTTTACCGGTGTGTATATTCCCGCCTGCTGGTACAACTATGGATCGACCTACCGCCATTGGTAACTGCCGTGGGCAAAGGTAAATGTTTGCCCCAAGTGGACTTCTGGGGGTCTTCTTTGAAACTGATCAGTGTTATGCATGAGCCCTCTTGGACTTCAGGCTCCCGTAGCATGACACACATAGAACAAAAATGGGGGCTGCCGTTGTGGCTCAGGCGTTGAAGCCACTGCCTCAGATGCCCATATGAGCACCAGTTCAAGTCCCAGCTGCTCCACTTCTGATCCAGCTTCCAGATAATGCACCTGGCAGGGCAGCAGAAGATGGGAGATCCTAATGAAGTTCTGGGTTCCTGGCTTCAGCCTGGCCCAGCCCCAGCTGTTGCAGTCATTTGGGGAGTGAACCAGCCAATGGAAGACCTCTTTCTCTGTCTCTCCTCTCTCTGTGACTTTTCCATTCTTTTTTTTTTTAAGAATTCAGAGTTTATTTATATACTCATTCATTTAATATCTAGCCTTTCAGATAAATAAATTTTTTAATAAACCAGCAACGCCACTACCTTGAGATAACACTATTAGCATTTTCACATATCCCAATCATTAACTAAGTGCTATTTACTGAACAACTATTATATAAAGGCCGCTGGCTCTTGCTGGAGATAACATGATGAGCAAAGACCAACACATCTTTTGTCAGGCAGGATTTACAGTCTAGTTGGGGGAGACAGACCTTAACGAAACAGTGATGCAAATACATGTGAAGGTGCAACTGAAGGTACACATGTGGTGCCTAGATCTGATCTAGCTGTGAAAATGTGCTATCTGAGTTGTGAGGAGGGGACTACTGAACTGAGGACGGAACAAGTTAGCAGGGAAGAGTGTGCCCAACACACATAGGAAACCCAAGGTCCCAGCAGAGGTAGGGAACATGGTGAGAACACAGAAGCTTCATTGCGGCTGCCGTCATCTGCAAGATGAAGTTGAGGAGCTGGGAAGACTGTAAACCTGGAATAGCTTAGCATCCTTAGTTTAGAAAGTATTCTTCATTCAACAAATTTTTCTTGCCTATGAGGAGGTAGGGACACATTTAAACAAACTGGATTTAAATCATACACTGCCTTGACTACAGACAATTTTGTCAAAAAACATACAGTAATTTAACATCTTATTATTGCAAATATGAATTGCACCCAACTTTCTACTATTCTTAAGAATGCAATGACAAATGTCTTTGTTTTTTGTTTTTTGGTTTTTTTTTTTTTTTTTTTGACAGGCAGAGTTAGACAGTGAGAGAGAGACAGAGAGAAAGGCCTTCTTTCCGTTGGTTCACCCCCCAAATGGCTGCCACAGCTGGTGCGCTGCGCCGATCCGAAGCCAGGAGCCAGGTGCTTCCTCATGGTCTCCCATGCAGGTGCAGGGCCCAAGCACTTGGGCCATCCTCCACTGCACTCCTGGGCCACAACAGAGAGCTGGACTGGAAGAGGAGCAACCGGGACAGAATCCGGCGCCCCAACCGGGACTAGAACCCAGGGTACTGGTGCAGCAGGTGGAGGATTAGCCTAGTGAGCTGCGGCACCAGCCGACAAATGTCTTTGTGTGTGGATGTGCATTCAAATATTTCTTAGCATACATCCCTGCAAATGGAATAGCTGCCTGGGCAAATCTGTCAGCATTTCACCTGTAATCTCATCTGGAAAATCAGCACGCTCAGCTGTCAAAATCTGATGCTGTCTTTGAAGTTAGTGCCACTATTACATTTGGGTTTTGTTTGGTTGGTTGGGTTTTTTTTTTTTTTTTTAGATTTTTATTTTATTTATTTGAAAGAATTACAGAGAGAGAGAGAGGTGTTCCATCCACTGGTTCACTCCCCAGATGACTGCAATGGCCAGAGCTGAGCTGATCCAAAGCCAGGAGCCATGAGCTTCTTCTGGGTCTCCCAAGTGGGTGCAGGGGCCCAGGGACTTGGGCCATCTTCCACTGCTTTCCTAGGCCTCAGCAGAGAGCTGGATCGGAAGTGGAGCAGCCAGGACTCGAACCGGCGCCCATATGGGATGCCAGCACTGCAGGCCGCGCCTTTACCTGCTACGCCACAGCGCCAGCCCCCACCATTACATTTGGGAGCATTCTCAGGTGACTTTTAGGATTTGCTTCTTCATTTGCTTCAGCGTGTGAGGAAAGCACTTCTATTCGACCCCCAAGGTTTCTTCTAGCAACCCCACATGGACTGCCACAGGACTCTTCTTAACTTCAGCTGCTCGGAAGCCCGACTGTCCTCCTCCCTGGCTCCACAGGAGAGGCTCCCTTCTGTGGCCAAAGGCTCTTCCCCGGGGCTCGGGACACGCCGGAAGAGAGGCAGTTTCTGACACTCCTTTCTTCCGTTCTGGCCTCCTACCTCACCCACTTCCAATTTCACGACCTAAATTCACTGCCCTGTTAAAGAAAAACACACAGAGTTTCAGTTCTGTCACAGACCCAAGTGGTCCACACTGGGCTTGCCGGGAGACGTCCTCTCTCCCCTTCAACATCTGTGGGTATTGCATTGCCTTCAAAGCTTAGTCACACTCAAGATGAACGGCTAGGATTCTAATGACCGACACAAACTCTGACAGCATTCACATCTTTCTTTAGCTCCTGTTTGCATTCCATTTCTCCTGTTAGCCATCACAAAGCACACCAAACACTGGAGTAAGGGAAAGGGTTTATTGGGGAAAACCCAGCAGACTGGAGGGAAGGGGCGAAGAGAGAAAGAGGGGAGAGGAGAGGATAGATGGGAGGCTAAAGAGAGGAGAAGAGAGAAGAGAGACGAGAGGAGCCAAGAGAGCCCCGGGTTCAGGAACAGGCCCTCTTTAAACTTTGCTGGAGGGCGGGCAGGGAAGCAGGAGCAGCGAATCCCATTAGGATGGTCCATGTGGCCACCTGGCTTCCAGCAATGGCGGCGGGGGCTAGGGCCTGGGATGTAAATCAGGGTGTATAGATCGTGCCATAGATAAAACTGCGCCAGTTTCCTAACATCTCCACTACCAAAAAATAATAAAAAAAATAAATAAATAAAACCACAACCAGCAACTATTTCCAAGGTCAGCGGGATGCCCTGGCTAAAGCTAAGGCCTTGTTGTCCAGGGAAAGTTCCTAACCACGTGCTGGGCACGGTGCTAACTGCATTACAGAGGCTTCCCATGTCAACCCTCATCACAGCAAGCCGGTGAGATGCCCCATCGACTTGTGGGAAGCTGAGAGCTACCACGAGGGACGTGCACCCCACTTGGTTTTAAACGGAGATAAAAAAAAAAAAAAAAAAAAGAGCAAAGCAAAAATAAAAAAAAAAAAAAAAAACAGGGAAAGCATCAACGAAAACAAGCAGGCAAGCCAGGGTTGAGCCTCCCGCGCGGCCAGGACGCCTCCCAGCGGCCAACTTCCCGCACGCTACGCTTCCGGCTTCGCGCTGACGTCACTAGCGAGCGCCTTTCGTCGGCCCCAGTCGCGTACGTGCGAGGGGCGCGGGACGTCGGCGGAGGAGGCGGGCCTTCCGGGTCTCGCCCAAACTATTTCCGTCGGGAGGCGGAAGGCGTCCCGGATGGTCTCGCGCGCGGCCTGTGCGAGGTGAACCCTGAGGCTGCTGGCGGTCCCGCGCCGAGGTCTGTCTCATGCTGCGGGCTGCGGCCGCCGGCCTCCGCTCGCACCAGCGGCGCTGAGGCGCCGGAGCCGCGCGCGCCATGTCGTCGGGTCTCCGCCCCGGCGACTTCCCCCGCTGGAAGCGCCACATCTCGGAGGAGCTGAGGCGCCGGGACCGGCTGCAGAGGCAGACGTTCGAGGAGATCATCCTGCAGTGTGAGCGCGCCGCGCGGGCCGGGGGCGGGGGTCCGCGGAGACACGTGGGCGCCCGGGGAGGCCGTGCGGGGCACCGTGCGCTCGGGCGCCCCGCGCCTCTGCCGCCCTCTCGCCTCGCTCTGACGGTACAGGGTCTCCGCGGCTCCGCTGGGTGCACTTGCAGGCTGCGGAAGCATCCGTGTTGGGGGATGGCGGTAGTGAGACCGGCGCGATTCCAAGCATTTAACTCGCGGAATTGGCCGGTGCCCTTCGATGGCTCGGGCCTCTCCCGCGCCGCCTTGGTGTTCCCGTCCCGACTCTGGCCACGCTTTGTAGCTGGGACGTAGCCTCTGCTGCTAATTAAAACCTGCAGTTACGGCTTTCCTCTCCGCCACTGCCTGCGGCTCAGGATGCCGGACTGTACCTCCAGAGGCGTCCGGTGGGCGCCCGCCTGCCCCGTCTCCCCGGTTTCGCCTTGGGGGCAGAAATGGCCACTCTTTGGCCCTGAGTGCCCATCTGTCCCCGGAAGTACCCCTGAGCTGGGGGATGATGCGGCTCTAAGTCATAGCTGGCTTCTGAGTTTTTCTTATTCACTTGGTCGAGAGACGGAGAGAACTGCCGTCCGCAGGTGCTCCCAAGGGCTTGCCTAGGCCCCGGCCAGAACTAGGAACCGGGAATGCAATCCAGGGCTTCCACGTGGATGGCAGGAGCCCAGTTACTGTGTGGGGCCCGGCTTTTATTTATTTATTTTTATTTTTTGTAAAGATTTATTTGAAACGCAGAGTTACAGAGGACAGAGATCTTCCATCCACCGATTCACTCCCCAGATGGCCGCAACGGCTGGGGCTGGGCCCGGGCCCGGCAGAATCCAGGAGCCCCCTCCAGGTCTCCCACGTGGGTGCAGGGCCCAGGCACTTGGGCCAGCTCTGCTGCCTTCCCAGGTGCATCAGCAGGGAGCTGGATTGGAAGTGGAGCAGCCGGGACTGGAACCGGTGCCCATGTGGGATTCTGGCATTGCAGGTGGCAGCTTCACCCTGCCAGCCCGGTGCAGCCATCTTAACCTGCTCCCATTTATCGAATTCTGGTTGTGTTACATTACTGGCCAGCAGACTTCCCTGCAGGTTAGCATCATGGGGGCCTTACAAACAAGCCGTACTCCAGAGCAAGTAAATCGCAAGAAGTGGAGACAGAACAGGGGGCCAGTGTGTGTCAGTGCTCCCCGAGTGGTTCTACTGTGGTGCCAAGTTTGAGTTCCATGGAAAATTGGCACATGCTGTTTTATTCTGAGCCCCCCCACACACACACACAGGAGGAAACCGAGGCAGAGAGGTGAAGTCGCTTCCCTGGGGCTGCACACAAGTCACACGAGCGGTGAGGGATTCACACTTGGGCTTGGTGGCCCTTTGCCTTGGCTTCTCTCGCGGGATCCCCGGAGTGCCCGTCCTCTTTAGAAGGATACAGAGGAAGGGGGCGCTGTGCTGCTGTAGCGCTCGCCTCCTCTCCACCAGCCCAGTGCTCTCCGAGAGCGCCCTGGAGAACCTCTTACTCAAAGTGCAGTTCCCTGGCAGCTCACTAAATTCAGTTCATCGGGTGTTTGTTGAATGCTTTTCTTGAAATAAAGTCTGAAAGTCAGACTGGATCAGGCGCTGAGTCACCCTTTGCTAAGTACCTTGTCATTTGAGTCTGAGTCGCTACATCATAAATGGTGTTGGAGCTCGCCTGGCTGCTTCATAAAAGCGGTGCTGTGCACCGAAGTGCGTGAAAGCCATCTGTGTAATAGTCTATTAACTCGAGGGTGCCTGTGATCTCACTGACTGACAGAATGCTTTTCTGAACCTCAAAAGTAGTCATCACATGCCTCCAGATGGGGTGGGAGGGTGTGGAGCCAGCAGAGCCAGAGGTCAGTTGTAGAGAGAAGACATTGTGAGTGATGCTGGATTGGAGAGTAATGCCTGTCCGACAAGCCTCGGGAGGAGGGGGGATGAGAGGCTAACAGGCAGGAAAAACCAGACAGCCTTTGCCTGCTCCAATCATTGTGGTCCCAGGGATTGACATCTGGGGAGCTTTCTCCAGTCTTGTCGTTTTAGCTTCCCAGGCCAGGCAAGTTCTGAGCCTTCATCTGTACTGCCCGCGCTAAACCTGCCTCCGAATCTAAAGAGAAAAATGAAGAGGCTGGAGAGGCCGGGAAAGGCTCTTCCGCCTCCAGCCTGCTTTCTCTGGTGAAAGGCGCCCTGGGGAGGGTCCTCTCAAATGCCCCCTGTCCTTGAAAGGCCTGAGATCTCACAGGGCACCCAGCTTTGGTGTCATGATTTGAAGACCTCAGTAGAGCCCTTTGACTTGAATTGAAGCCTTTCTCTTGTCTCTGTCACGTGTTCAGTGTTGAAACCACTTACTGGTTCACCTGAGCTGATCCAGTCAGTTAACGGAGATGAAGAATGTTTGGTTTTGCCAAGGAATTCCATTTTCAAGTATCAGTGAGAAATGGGAGTCGTGATTTTCTTTTTTATTTTTATTTTTTTTGCTTAAAGGTTTATTTTATTTATTTGAAAGGCAGAGTTAGATCTTCCATCTGCTGGTTCACTCCCCAAATGGCCACAACAGCCAGGGCTGGACCAGGCTAAAGCCAGGAACATGGAGCTACATCTGGGTCTCCCACAAGGGTGGCAGGGGCCCAGGCATTGGCCTATCCTCTGCTGCTTTCCCAAGTACATTAGCAGGGAGCTAGATCTTTAAGAGAAACGTTTAACAGGAATAGCCCCTGGCACAAGCCCTATCAACATCTTATTGCTGAGCAGTTCTAATCTGAAGACTTGTAGAGTTTGTGATAACTCCTACCAAACAGCTGTTCCACAGGCTCCCATGGTGCTCTTGGGACTCAGAATGACAATTCCAAATTGTGATGCTTTGGCGTGCTGGGCTGAAGAGCAGTCTCGGAGCCGAGGGCTCTGTAAGCTTCCCTTGTTTCTCCCCGAGCACAGGGAGGGTCATTGCTGACGTTCCCTTACCTGAGAAAACCTGGAAAGAACCATGATTGTCTTAAATTCCCTCCCCAGGAACCTCATCGACCATTCTTGAAAGAGGAGCCATACAGCACCCACACAGGCGTTTCATCTGTTTGTTTTAGTTGACAGGTAGAGTTACAGACAGAGAGAGAAAGGTCTTCTTCTGTTGGTTCACTCCCCAAATGGCCGTCACGGCCGACGCTGCGCCTGTTCGAAGCCAGGAGCCAGGTGCTTCTTCCTGGTCTCCCACGGGGTGCAGGGGCCCAAGGACTTGGGCCATCTTCTACTGCTTTCCCAGGCCACTGGAAGAGGAGCAGCCGGGACTAGAACCAGCACCCATATGGGATGCCGGCCTCCATCTGTGTTTCTAAGGCAGCTCCCCGAGATAACCTGGGTGACTTTGTCTGCATCGTGAGAGCCCCTTTGTTCTGTCTTCCTTCTTCTGTCCAATGAAAAGGGTATTTTAAGTTTCAACCATCTGGTTCCTTTTCCTGTATATTTTGTGTGACCCCAGTGCTTATGCACATTGATACGTTTATAATGCTTTCCTCTAGCTAGCCTGAATTTTTTACTGGGATATTGGCTGTGACCTGTTTTGATAGAAAAGGGATTGCCTCTTTTTTTTTTTTAAGATTTATTTCAAAGGTAGAGTTACAGAGAGAGAGAGAGAGAAAGATCTTCTATCTACTGATTCACTTCCTAAATGGCCACAATGGCCAGAGCTGGGCCAGACTGAAGGCAGGAGCTTCTTTCTGGTCTCCCACGTGGCTGCAAGGGCCCAAGCACTTGGACCATCTTCTGTTGCTTTCCCAGGTGCATCAGCAGGGAGCTGAATCAGAAGAGGAGCAGCCAGGACTTGAACTCATACCCATTTTGGATGGTGCCACATCACTGGCCCCAGGGATGGCCTCTTTTCTGCCCCTCTTGCACCTCCCATCTGATCTCGGTGGCCCCATGTCTTAAATTTATGTTGAAAAAGAACTCTTCTTTCGTGCGTTCTGTCTGACAAATTAGCATCTTCTCCCAAGTTGCCTGAGCAGGGAACGTCAGAATAATCTTTAAGTTCTTCCCAATTCAAGTCTGCCTGTGTAACTGCCAGCTTTTACAATCTTATTTCATCATCAAGGAAAAGTTTTAATTTTTCATCCTGCTCTCATGTGTTGGCTCCAGCCTTTACCGCCAGCCATGGCCCGGGCAGCTCTGAGAATCCTTCTGGCAGGGACATCATCTTTTAAGATATAACTCAGATGTCATCATATTTTTATTTTTATTAGGATTTTATCTATTTATTTTGAGAGCTAGAGTTACATACAGACAGTGAGAGGGAGAGACGAAGACAGAAAGGTCTTCCATTGGTTCATTCCCCGAACGGCCACAGTGGCTAGAGCTGCACTGATCCGAAGCCTGGAGCCAGGTGCTTCTTCCAGGTCTCCCACGTGGGTGCAGGGGCCCAAGGACTTGGGCATCTTCTACTGCTCTCCCAGGCCATAGCAGAGAGCTGGATTGGAAGAGGAGCAGCCGGGACTCAAACCCGCACACATATGGGATGCTGGCGCCACACGCGGAGGATTAACCTGTTGTACCATGGTGCTGGCCTCTCATGATGTTATCATCTTTTTATGGTGGAGTGCATTGAATTTGAGCTCCTTTGTGGTTGTGGGGGCAAGGGCTCCATTTGTATTTATACTCCTGATGCCCCAATCTGAAGACAAGTAAACTTATCAAATGATAGCATTCTCCTGTGTTGTTGAAACATGCAAAGCATTCATTTTTCTGTTGATTTTGGTGTTTTGTTTTATAATTCCCAAGGTAGAAACATAAATTTGGAAGTAGAAAACACTTTCAAATTCCTTTCACAAGGATCATTCTTGCAGGTGCATTTCCGCTGGTTACTGTTTCTGGGTTGCCCACGCTTAGGCCAAGAAGCATCTAAGGAAGGGATGTATGTTCCTGGGTTTTATATAATTTCTGCAATAGATGATAAATAGTACCTCGTTCTTTGGTAACTAATGAACATGAAACTTCCCTGGGTCACCTCCTGGTTTTGGGAGATTTTTTTATTCTTTGTCCCAGACTTTATAAGATGAAAACCATACATGTGTTAATAATTAATAACTTGTGATTTTTTTAACATAGACAACAAGTTGCTGGAAAAGTCGGATCTTCATTCAGTGTTGGCCCAGAAACTACAAGCTGAAAAGCATGACCCACCAAACCGGCATGAGCTAAGGTATTTTGGCATGAACCTGTGGTGGGTTTTTTTTAATTGTGTTTTGCTGAAATTTGTCTTCATTCAGTTCTCACTTCTCTAATTTAAAAGTAAACTGTGTACTCTAGCCTCTCTTAGCTCTTTTTAAATGAGCACTGCTAACACCAAGTAACTAAACTGTGTTTTGAAGGATACGTGCATAACGAGGAGGCCTATAATCAGTGCGGTTCTGTCAGCTCACATAGTCAGGTTCTCTTCTAACACTACCAAGGTTCACATCTCCTGAATAATCAAAGACAAGGAAGTATTTCTGAGCAGATTACACAGATCTTATTAGTACAAGATGGATGGGTATATACCCATCCATAGAACATAAACTGTGTTCTACACAGTGTGGATCTATTGGATTTTTCCCAAGGTAGAACTTCTGAGTGATAGAACTTCCACCCACCAGTTCACTCTCTAAATGCCTATAGTAGCCTGGTCTGGGCCAGGCTGAAGCTGGGAGCCTGAAACTATCCGATTCTCCTGCATGAGTGGCAGAAACTCAAGTTCCTGAGCCATCATCTGCAGTTCACAGGCATGTTGGCAGGGAGCTGGATTGCAAACAGAGTGGCCAGGGCCGTGAACTGGCACTGATGTGGGATGTGGGTGTTCAAGCAATAGATTGACCTGTGCCGCAGCACCTGCACTCTTTGAATTTTCAGCTCTATTATCCCAAGAGATGAGCTGCAACAAGCTTTATATTTTTTTATTTAAAGGGTAAGCCTTATTAAATACACACGTACATTTGAGTGGGATGTTTGATATGTTTATGGGCCATATGTGGGCCATTGTTTTCTCTTTTTTTTTTTTTTTTTTTTTAAGATTTATTTATTTATTTGAGAGGCAGAGTTATAGAGAAGGAAAGGGAGAGACAGAGGGAGCTCGCCACTCCCCAAATGCTGTAGTGGCTGGAGCTGGCCAGTCTGAAGTCAGGAGCCAGGAGCTTTTTCCAGGTCTTCCATGTGGGTGCAGGGGCCCAAGCACTTGGGCCGTCTTCTGCTGCATTTCCCAAGTCATAAGCAGGGAGCTGGTCAGAGGAGGAGCAACTGGCACTCAAAAATTGGTGCCTTTATGGGATGCCGGCACCGCAGGCTGAGGCTTAACCTACTAAGCCACAGCACCGATCCCTGCTGTGGGTCTCTGATTTGCTTGAAAGGCAGAGGGGAGGCAGGCAGAAAGATCTCCCAGATGCCTGCAACAGGTGGGGCTGGGTGAACCCAATGCAGGTCTCATCCATTGGTGGCAGGGACCCAGTTAATTGCTGGAGCCTCACCTCTTACTTCCCAAGGTGTGCATAGGCAAGAAGCCAGAATCTGGAGCTGGGGTGGGATTTAAACCCTGGCACTCCAATGTGGGGTGCAGACATCCGAGTGGCATCTTTTTTTTTTTTCCTTACTTTATTTGAAAGAGTTACAGAGAAAGAGGGAAAGACCAAAATCTTCAATCCAATGGTTCACTCCCCAAATGCCCGCAACAGAAGCCAAGAGCCTGAACTCCGTCAGTCTCCCATGTGGATGGCAGGGGCCCAAGTACTTGGGTCATCTTCCATTGCTTTCCCAGGCACATGAGTGAGTAGCTGGATGGGGAGTGGAGCAACCGGGACTTGAACCATCACCTGGATGCCAGTTTTGTGGGCAGGGGCTTCACTCAGTGTGCCACAATGCTGCCCCCCTAAGTGGCGTCTTAACCACGCTACACCAATGCATACTGTGTATTTTTTTTTCTGACAGAGTGGACAGTGAGGGAGAGACAGAGAGAAATGTCTTCCTTTGATGTTGGTTCACCCTCCAATGGCCGTTGCGGCCAGTGCGCTGCGGCTGGCACACCGCGCCGATCCAAAGGCAGGAGCCAGGTGCTTCTCCTGGTCTCCTACGCTGGTGCAGGGCCCAAGGACTTGGGCCATCCTCCACTACACTCCTAGGCCACAGCAGAGAGCTGGCCTGGAAGAGGGGCAACTGGGACAGAATCTGGTGCCCCGACCGGAACTAGAACCCTGGGTGCCGGCACCGCAGGCAGAGGATTAGCCTATTGAGCCGCGGCACCAGCCAATGTGTATTTTTTTTAATTAAGGATGATGGGCAAAAAAAAAAATCTGAAATCCAAAGCAGCTTAAGTGGGTTTATTCTGGAGTCTCCTTTTTTTTGAAGTGTTCATGATGGTTGAATATTAAATTTGGTGGTTCGTATGAAAGCAGTGCCCAATATTGCTTTAAAATCTACATACTTTGGGGGCTGGTGCTGTGGCATAGCAGGTAAAACCGCAGCCTGCAGTGCCGGCATCCCATATGAGCACCAGTTCTAGTCCCAGCTGCTCCTCTTCCAATCCAGCTCTCTGCTATGGCCTGGGAAAGCAGTAGATGATGGCCCAGGTCCTTGGGCCCCTGCACCCACTTGGGAGACCCAGAAGAAGCTCCTGCCTCCTGGCTGCAGAGCGGCATAGCTCTGGCCATTGCGGCCATCTGGGGAGTGAACCAGCGGATGGAAGACACCTCTTACTCTCTCTGCCTCTGCCTCTCTGTAAGTCTGCCTTTCACATAAATAAATAAATCTTTAAAAAAAATTACACACTTTTGCATATTTAGGAATTGTGAAAACAAGGTTGGTAACTTAAGATTTTAGGAAAAAGAGAATGGAGACAGTAGATACTGCTTCATTTAACCCTGAATTTGAATCTGGATAAGCTGCCTGCCGTCCATGTTTGCTGGCCTGGCAAGGGAAGCTCCTGAGTGTGGACAGAGGGGGGGGAGGGGAGATCTCTTGGAACAGCTGGTGTGGCCCGTCCTGGCTTCCGTCCTCGCTTACTAGCAGATGGCACCCGTTGTGGCTGTGGCCCCGAGAGGCCTTCTGTGGTCATTAAGATCATAGTTGCGTGTTCTTATTAATGTTGAATGTAGATGATGGTATTTCATCTTTCTTATTTAAATTCAACCACTTGAAAACTGTTTTTGAAAAAAGATTTGAGAGAGGCATTTTCCATCTGCTGGTGGGCTCCCCAGGTGGCCACAACAGCCAGGGCTGGGCTAGACTGAAGGCAGGAGCCAGGAGCTTCTTGCAGGTCTCCCACATGGGTGGCAGGGCCCAGATCCTTGGGCCATCCTCCACTGCTTGCCCAGGCCCGTTAGCAGAAAAGCCTCTGATGGAGAATGCAGGCACTCCAAGCGGCAGCTCAAGCCACTGTGCCACTCGAGTCCCCTGGTGCTTGATGACTGTCTTCCTGCATCTTGTGTTTGTCAATGAAGGGCATTTGCTTGGCAGTTCTGGCTGAATTTCACTGGACTGGTCTTTCCATTGGAGAGCTTTCCTTTCCCACAAGCATTGTCCGTAATGAGCTGTCCTCCTGACTGCCTGGTTTCCATTAGCGGGATCCTCGTCGTCCATCAGCCGTCCATGGTTCCTTTCCCCTTGGTATCCGGCCCCTCTCCTTTCTCTCTCATGCTGCCTTTCAAATACATAAAATACCCCCCCCCCTTTTTTTTTAAAGTTTTCTTAGGTTGTTGTAAGCTTGGTTGTATTTGAAAGGCAGAGCAGCAGCGGGATCTCCATCTGCTGGTTCATCCCCCAGATGCCCCCGAGGCCAGGAGCGGGAACTCCATCAGGGCCTCCCACGTGGGTAGCAGAGACCCAGATACTTAAGCCGTCATCTGCTACTTCAGGGCTCAGTACCACTGTGCCAACAAGTGTCAGAAATTCTAGGGGCGGGGCCCATTGAGCTGTTCTAAGAAATTCTGTAGTTCTTAGGTTTGAGCCCCGCCCTGCTGCTCAGTTCTGTAAGCCGGCTAGAAATGGCAGACTGCCGGGCCTTGCTGGCGGAGCAGAGCCCCTGTGGGCGGGACCCCGAAACGGTTCCCTTGTTAGTGCACTGTGAAAGACTTGTCCTCTGTCTTGAGCAGCGTGAATGACCTGTCTCCTTGCTTTGGTCCCTAGCAGTTCTGTGTCTTAGCATCCTGAGACTAAGCCCTGGGCCTTCCTGGGAACGCCTGCTCCTGTCTCTGCTGAAGTGCCCCTCAGAGGGCAGCCCTTCTTTCCCGGGGACTCTGCCTGTTGAACACGGGATGAAGCTGTTTGCCTTTCAGGAATCAGTCATGCAGAGTGGCTGCTTCTTGGAAGGAGGGACCACATCTTTGCTTACCCCACATTTCTTTTTTTAAAGTAAGCATTTGATATTTTGTCACTTGCTAGTCTGTTCCTTTTTTTTTTTTTTTGTCTGTGTTCCTTTTTTTGGAGTAAGGAATTAGAGACTGAAAACAGGGATCGTAGAGCCAAAGCCTGCTGAACTGTTTGAGAGCATTGGCAACCTTTTTTTTCCTGGTTTGGGACCTTTAATTTTTATTTTATTTATTTATTTTTTTTAATTTATTTGAAAGATGGAATCAGAGGCAAAGAAGACCGGAGTCTTCCATCTGATGGTTCACTCCCAAAATGACAGCAGTGGCCAGGGCTGGGCCAAACCGAAGCCAGGAGCTTCTTCTAGGTCACCATGTGACTGCAGGGGTCCAAGGACTTGGGCCATCCTCTGCTGCTTTCTCAAGTTCATTAGCAGGGCACTGGATCAGAAGTGGAGCAGCAGAGACTCAAACCAGGGCCCATATGGGATGTCAGCACTGCGGGCAATAGCAATAGCACTGCTTTGCCACAGCGCTGGCCCCCTTGGGGCTCTGTCCCTAAAGAATAAGGGGCGTTGACTAGTGATATAGCCATTTTGATCATGATTGGCATTTGTGATCGACAACTGGTAGTTGGATACCTTTGTGCTCACTGTATATGACGCTACAAACTTGTAGTTAGTTGAACTCCCATTTCGTCAGGGTACTTCACCCACGAGTTACACTGCAAAGTGGGTGGTCTTGATTGAGTCCTAGCAAAAGCCAGGGTCCCCATACCTCTACTGGATGAGGGTTTTGTGGCCCCTCCCTAGTCACTCACACCTAATTAACTGTCTGATACTTTAATCCTTTTCATTTAAGGTGGTTTCACGTTAAGTGTTTTCTGTATTCTAATTTCTGAGCTAAGATTCAGGAAGTTCCACCAAGCATGAAGAACGAACGAAGAACTAGTTTGTGCTCAGATGTATAATAAGAATACATGTGGGGCTGCGGCTCACTAGGCTGATCCTCCGCCTGCGGTGCCGGCACACCGAGTTCTAGTCCCGGTCGGGGCGCCGGATTCTGTCCCGGTTGCCCCTCTTCCAGTCCAGCTCTCTGCTGTGGCCCAAGTGCTTGGGCCCTGCACCCATGGGAGAGCAGGATAAGTACCTGGCTCCTGCCTTCGGATCAGCATGGTGCGCCAGCCGCGGCGGCCATTGGAGGGTGAACCAACGGCAAAGAAAGACCTTTCTCTCTGTCTCTCTCTCTCTCACTGTCCACTCTGCCTGTCCAAAAAAAAAAAAAAAAAGAAGAAGAATACATGTGGGGCTGACGCTGTGGTGCAGTAAGTTAACCCTCTGCCTGTAGTGCCGGCATCCCATATGGGCACCGGTTCTAGTCCCAGCAGCTCCACTTTCCATCCAACTTTTTGCTATGGCCTAGGAAAGCAGTGGAAGATGGCCCAAGCGCTTGGGCCCCTGCACCTGCATGGGAGATCCGGAGGAGCCTCCTGGCTCCTGACTTCAGATTGGCCCAGCTGCAGCAGTTGTGGCCATTTGGGGAGTGAACCTGCGGATGGAAGACCTTTCTCTCTGTCTCTCCCCTTCTATGTCTGTAACTCTACCTCTCAAATAAATCTTAAATCTTAAAAAAATACACGTGGCCCAGTGGGTTAGCCTGCCGCTTGTGCTGGCGTCCCATCTAAGAGCATCAGTTCATGTCCTGGCTGCTCTCTTTCCAATCCAGATAACTGCTGGTGCACCTGGGAAGGCAGTGGATGATGGCCCATCCCTGGCTGTTGTGTGGCTATTTGGGAAGTGAACCAGTGGATGGAATATCTTTCTGTCGCTCTACCTTTCAAATACATAGATAAAACTTCATCAACAACAAAGTACATGTAGAGATGGAAGGTGAAATTGGGAGAGCTACTATACTTTCTCCTTCTGATTATATTCTAGGCTGTGTGGACTGGGCGGTTCTCCCTTGTTCTTGCAGGTAGTCCAGCTGTCTTTTCTCCCTCTGCCAGCTTTCCCTGGGTGATGGTGTCAAATACTCAGTAGTCTGACAAAGCTCATTATAGCTCTAGCTAAGACCTCCCCCACCTATTAAGCTATAAATACAACATTCTAGTCATCTGCTGCTGTTTCTGACATGTGCCAACTCTTGGCAAGGTTTCAAAACTGTATTGACAGCTTGAGGTGGTCTGAGCTCACTTCCATGACTTCAGGTACATTTCTTTGCTGCCTGCTTCTGTGTGTCAGCATCTAGCATAGCACTGTCCTTGACATTCAGACTCGAGCAACCGATCTCTGCCTGGCAGGTGCACTCTGTGTTCGTAGCTGAGCACTTTAGAACTCCCAAACCTGTTCCCCTACCCCCAAGTTCTGCCACCTACCTTTCATTAAAGGCCTTAAGTCCCCCTCGACTCTCTCCACACCCCATGTGCAATTCCCAGGCCTGTCGCATGGTCACCTGTCCAGGACAGGTGTAGACTCTGACCGCATCTCTCCACCTCCACTGTTTTTACACCATGGTCCAAGCCACACCATCTCATGTCTGAGCTAAGCAGAGTCTGCTTCCTGGTTTCTTTGTTTTCACCCTTGGCGTACAGCAGCCCTAGCCATCCTTTTAAAACGTGAGTCATTGCTCAAAGCACAACTGCCCACCTGGTGTACTGGCCCTGAGCCTCCGCCAGGGCTTGTTCCGCGTGTCGTTCTGGTCTCTGGTCATGCGTTACTTTCTCAGAAGCCCTCATTGACTGGCCTACACAAAGTAGGCCCCCGTTGTCGTGTCTCCTCTCCCTGCTTGAACTTCCTCTGCAGCACAGAGCACTCCCGGTTTCTCAATTGTTTATTGTCCATCTGCTCCTGATTGCTTGCCAGCTGCATGAGAGCAAAGCTTTGTCTCCCGCCAGCACCATGGACAGTGCCTGGTACATGGTTGGCACTCAGATGCTTGGGAGTGGGCCCTGCTGGCTTCTCTGTGTTCACCTGCACTCTGCTCGGAACGTAGTTCCCGCCATGACTTAGTGCTTCTGTTTGCTGTGTCATGGCTCTCGCTCCTACTCTGCTTTTTGTGGCTCATGACTGCAGCTGCTGGGGACACTAGGGTGATTGGAGGAATACGCTGACATGTCCGGGTTGGAGATCCTGGAGTTGCTGTTCCACTGCCTGATTGGACAGATTTGGTCTCTGATTTTTCTCCCTCTCTTGGCATGTTTTCTTCACCTGGCTGGTGAGCTAGTCCTGGACATGATAGTGCATGGAATGACAGCCAGCTGCAAGAAATGGCCCAGCTGAGAATTAAACACCAAGAAGAGCTGACTGAATTACACAAGAAACGTGGGGAGGTAAAGATTGCCTCGCTCCTCATCGATATAATGCTCTCGCGCCTGGTTGGGGGTGGTCAGGGAAGAGGAGTAGGTACTTCTGGGAATTTACAACAGTCTTAGCTAAATTTGGCGTCACAAACTTTCTATGGAAGTGAGAGTGGAGGAAACTGAATAAGAAAATCCAGGCAAAGTGAGGCCCGTCAGCAGGACGGAGAGCCAGTAAGAGAACTACCCAGTTAGGTGCTTCAGAGGTGGTGTGAGACACAAGTGGAGAAACTAACAAACGAGACAGCTTGCCTGCTCCACGGCAGGTTTACCAATGCCTTCAGGCTGCTGCGTGTGGACCCTGATATCCCAGAAACACGCATTAGAAAGAATCAAGTCCTGTCTGTCCTGCATCGGAACCTGGTGGCCACCTAGCAGTGGTCCATGCACACCTGCTGCTCCTCGCTGCCACCCAGCCTGGTTCTCGGTGCCTTTGCCCAACCCCATGAGCTCCTTTCTTAAAAAGTCACCCGCGATGTGATTTCCACGTGAGGTCTGAATCTCCTACTCATGAGAGTGTTCTTTGTCTCCCAGTTAGCTCAGCTGGTGATCGACCTGAATAACCAGATGCAGCAGAAGGACCGGGAGATGCAGGTGAATGAGGCAAAGTGAGTAGAGACCTCGCCCCCCGGGCCCATGGCGGGCAGCAGCCACACCACAGGCTTTGTTGCAGGGCGTGAGCTCTGAGAAGGAAGAGGCAAGGACAGTGCCCCTGGGCTACTGGCATCCCCTAGGGAAGAAAACTGGCCCACGCAAGTGCCCCATGCAAGCTCTCCTGTGGCCACTGTGCGTGGGAACTGGCGTCTTCCTGGCGTGGAGGGAAGGCCACAGTATCCACGTGCATGACCCTTGGGAGTGGGGACAGGGTTGTGTTTGTGACCGGGACTCGTTCCTGGCAAACAAGAGAAGTGGGAACTCCCAAATTCTTGTACTTTAGAGGTGGAAGGGAGCCTGGGTCTCCTTACGTAAAGGCTGAGAATGGCAGAGGATTGGCTCAGGACCCACAAAAGGAATTGTAGAGCTGGTGAAACACGCAGCGTTTCCAGACTGGGAAGCCCTTTGACCACTCCAGCGGAGCGCCAGCTCCCTTCCGATTCTGAAGGGAGTTTCTGTAAGCCACCAGGCTGGGCCTGGCGAGGAGATGGAATAGACAGGCCTGATGTTCCTCCCGGCTAACGGGGCTCATGCAGGGAGTGCTGTGCAGGGCCCTGGTGAGGCACCGTTCCTCCTCCAATGTCATGCTTTCAGAATTGCAGAATGCTTGCAGACTATCTCTGACCTGGAGACCGAGTGCCTGGATCTGCGGACTAAGCTTCAGGACCTGGAAATAGCCAATCAGACCCTGAAGGATGAATATGATGCCCTGCAGATCACGTTCACTGCCTTGGAGGAGAAACTGAGGAAAACCACGGAGGAGAACCAGGAGCTGGTCACCCGGTGGATGGCTGAGAAAGCCCAGGAAGCCAATCGCCTCAACGCAGAGAATGAGAAGGACTCCAGGTGGGCTCAGTCCACAGTTGGTGGTTTCCGTGTTCAGTAAAGGCGAGTTTAGTTCTTTGAGAAGAAGCAAACACACTTGGCAGTTCTACCTACAGTGAGCAGAGAAAAACACATGAAGAGCATTAGACGTTGTGGCTATAAAATAAATTAACATTACAGGGATATTGGTACAGCTGAGCAGCCCCATGTGGCCGTTTGGGGAGTGAACCAGCAAGTAGAAGATCTCTTTCTCTCTCCCTGCCCCTTCTCCTCTTTCCCTCTCCCTTCCTTCCTCACCCGCTCTCTTGCAGTCTCTCTCTTTTTTTCTGTGTCACTCTGCCTTTCAAGTAAATACAGTAAATTTTTAAAAATAAAGAAGGTAGGACATGGTCTTTGACCTAGACTGATGAAGACCAGACGTACTACAGGTGTTGGTTTCTTCTGTGACACTAGGTGAATTTTAACCCCCTGCCTTGCAGAACGAGAACAGATCTGAGACAGACTGTTAGCAAGCACCTTTCTTTAGGTTAGTGTTAAGCATACATACCCACTGAGATTCTGCTTTTTTCTCAAAGACAGTTCCAAGATTGTCTCTCCCAACTAAGAAAATGTTGGCAAATCATTTTGTTTTTGTAACTTGTCCTGTAGAACTTAATTTGTCCTAAAGAACTTACATTTTTAGCTTCCAGTTATAAAGAGGATAATATACTCTTCCTTTTTTTGCAGAGGGAGATTTATTTATTTATTTGAAAGTCAGAATTAGGGGGAAAGACAGAAAGCAAGATCTTCCAACACTGGGTCTCCCACGTGGTGGACAGGGGCCCAGACACTTTGACCATCTTCTACTGCTTTTCCCAGGCCATTAACAGGGAGCTGGGTGGGAAATGGAGCAGGTGGGACACGAACTGGTGCCCACGTGGATGCTGGCCTCGCAGGTGGAGGCCTCACCCACCATGCCACTTTTTTGAGCTACACACTTACCCTTCCCCAAGATTCTGATAGGTTTTCTGGAGTAGTTTGTCCCATGTTGAAAATTAGCATTATGATAGGAGCTTAAAAGAAATTAATTGGATGGACATTTGGTGCGAGGGTCAAGGTGACACCTGTGATTCCCACACCCCATATCAGGGTCCGTGGGTTACACCACCAGCTCTGCTCTTGATTCCGGCTTCCTGCTAATAGTTCACCGAGGCAGTAGGCAATGCTCAGGCACTTCGGTCCTACCACCCACACCTGAGTCCTAAATTTGGCACTCCTGACTTTGGCCTGGCCCAGTGCCGGCTGTTGCAGGTGTTTGGGGAGTAAATGAGAGGTCTTGCTCTTCCTTGCTCATGTGCTCTGGCTCGCTCTTTGCCTTGTTTTCAATTGCAGCATGGCCCTTGGTTGGAGCTCTACAGCAGTGCTAAATTTCTGAATGGAAGGGCTTCCGCCTGGGGAGGACACCGCAGCTAGAGCAGAAGTGCCAGGGAGTGATCGTAGGACAGGCCTAGTGCAGACAAGAGCGTGATACCTGAGAAAGGGACCCCACAGTGAGTGAATAGATGGTGGGGGCGCTGCTGACCATACTGGGTTCACCCTGGAGATTCAAGAATCTCATTATACCTCATCGATCCGCAGCTGTGAGAAGGAAATAATAGTATAGTCAGCCCTGTCCGTGAGTTCCACGTCCACGGGTTCAGCCCACCATGGATCAAAACTATTTACAAAATTTGTGCTGAGCTTGCAGACTTTTCCTTGTCTTTGTCCTTTGAAAAAGTATAACTTTATGCAGCATTGACATTTTAGACTGTATTAGAAGTAATCCAAAGACAATTTTTAAAAAGTTTATAATAAGAAAATAAAACAAAAACATTTTTAAAAAGAAAATAAAACATACAGGAAATTTGAATAGATTAAGTGTGAATATTCCTCTGAGCGCTGTGGGTTTTGGTGTCTGTGACTGATCCCGGAATAGTCCCTCTCGGGTACCACAGAACGCCCGCTTCTCTCAGAGGGCTGTTAGGAGGAGTACTGAGTTCAGATCTGTACAGTAAACAGTGCCACGCGGGAATAAGTCCTGAGCGAGTCTCACTACTACTTCGTGCTGTGGTCGTGTTGGTGCTGTGTGCTGTTGGCTGTAACAAGCCCAGTCAGGCCCACACCTGGCCCTCGGTCAACCTGAAGACCTTCCATCCCAGAGGCCCTGGCCCCGACAGGCCCTCTCCTTGGCTAGGTCACCGCGGTCCAACGCGATTACTCCTCCGGCCTTACTCTTCATCATAGGGAGCCTCGCTGACGTTCTGGGTTTGGGAATTGGGGTATCTTTGCCCGTGGTTATTTTAAATGTGCTGAGTATTTGAATATGTTATCAGAACTAGTAGTTTATTGAGAGTCAAAATCCCATGCTTTTGTTGAGCAGACATAAATGTTTTTCTTTTAAATAGGCGGCGGCAAGCCCGGCTGCAGAAGGAGCTCGCGGAAGCCGCAAAGGAGCCTCTGCCGGTGGAGCAGTAAGTAGAGCTAAGCAAAGCAGAGCAGGCTCCTAGTGGTTTGGCTCTTCTTTCATGGCATTATAATGTTTTTATTTCTAGAAAAGTGTCTCACAGATGTTAGAAGGGAAACTGTTTAGAAAATAAAAACTGGGGCCGGCATTATGGCGCTCCACCTGCAACACTAGCATCCCATGTAAGTGCTGGTTCGCGTCCCGGCTGAAGTAAGGGGCTGGCGCTGTGGCATAGTGGACAGAGTAATTGCCTACAGTGTTGGATTCCCATATGGGCACTGGTTCTAGTCCCGGCTGCTCCACTTCCGATCCAGCTCTCTGCCATGGCCTGGGAAAGCAGTGGAAGATGGCCCAAGTCCTCGGGCCCCTGCACCTGCGTGGGAGACCCGGAAGAGGCTCCTGGCTCCTGGCTTTGGATCCACACCATTGTGGCTATCTGGGGACTAAACCCGCAGATGGAAGACCCCTCTCTCTGTCTCTCTGTAACTCTGACTGTCAAATAAATGAATAAATAGGGTTTTTTTTTTTTTTCTTTTTAAGATTTATTTATTTTGCTTGAAAGTCAGAGTTACACAGAGAGAGGAGAGGCAGAGAAAGAGAGAGGTCTTCCATCCGCTGGTTCACTCCCCAGATGGCCACAATGGCCGGAGCTGCACCAGTCCGAAGCCAGGAGCCAGGAGCTTCTTCGGGTCTCCCACGCAGGTGCATGGGCCCAAGGACTTGGGCATCTTCTACTGCCTTCCCACATCATAGCAGAAAGTTGGATCGGAAGTGAAGCAGCCGGGTCTCAAACCAGCACCCACATGGGATGCCGGCCCCCAGAATAAATAGTTTAAAAAAAGATAAGTTTAACGAAGAAAGGAAGGAAGGGAGAGAGATGAACAGAAAAATTAAAAATATATGACCTAGCCCTGCTATCCATACCCTTCAGTCCTGGGGAGTAGTGGGTTATGCCGCCTGTGATGCCAGCCTCCCGTATCAGAGTGTTGGTTTCCACTCTAGCTCCCTGCTGCTGTGCCTAAGACAGCCAATGATGATTCAGGTGCTTGGGTCCCTGCTACCCACGTTAGAGACTCAGAGCTCCTGGCTCTTGGCTTCAGCCTGGCCCAGCCCAGGTTGTTGAGGACATCTGGGGAGTAAACCAACAGATGGAAGAACTCTCTCCCCCTGCTCCCCTCCCCAACCCCTGCCCTCTGCTGTGGAACTGCCTTTCAAATCTTTAAAAAAAAAAAAAGTTAAAAAAAAAAAAAAAAAAACACATAAATCTACCACCATTTCAAAGTAATAGCCTCATTGATCATTTTAGTTGTGTTTTGGTGACTTCTAATTGCTCATAAATCCTGTATTTCTGATCGCTTATTGGGAAGGATTCTTGAAAGTAAAATTTGATTGGTGAAAGCTTTTGGAACTTACCGAATGTTGCCAAATTACCTTCCAAAAAGTTGTTCCAGTTCCTCCCACTCAGGGTGAGTGTGAATTCTGACTTCTTGCAGCCTGCACACCTGGCTCCCTCACTGTTTCCTGTTGACACTTTGATCAGTTTTCTGCCTCTCCTTGGGCCTATGGTCACAATTGGCTTAGGAGCGGGTGCAGGGACCCAAGTACTTGGGCCATCCTCCACTGCCTTCCCAGGCCACAGCAGAGAGCTGGACTGGAAGAGGAGCAACCAGGACTAGAACCCGGTGCCCATATGGGATGCCGGCGCCGCAGGTGGAGGATTAACCTAGTGCGCCACGGTGCAATTTTTTTTACTGTTGAAAAATAGTTTTGGAATATAGGTTTAGAATTATTCGCTATTTTTTGAAATGTTGATTGCATCCTGATAAGTGCAAGGAGTGGATTAAATTCAGAGCAGAATAATCCATCAACCAAAGTCTTAATTTATGAGAGAAGAAGGTTATTGTACTATGCCTTTGTTTGAATTTTTGTATTTACTTGAAAGGCAGAGTTAGAGAGGGAGAGACAGAGATCTTTGATCCACTGGTTCACTTCCCAGGTGGCCGCAAAGCTCGGGGCTGGGCCAAGCAGAAACCAGGAGCCAAGAGATTGTCCGCATGCCCCATGTGGGTGGCATGGGCCCAGACACTTGGGCCATCTTCCACTGCTTTTAGCAGGGAGCTGGTTGTGAAGTGGAGTAGCTGGGACACAAACCAGTGCCTGTATGGGATGCAGTCATCGCAGGCAGTAGCTTAACCCTCTGTACCGCGATGCTGCTCTCCAAGCCTTTGCTTTTGATGTGTGTATGTTCTACCCACAGAAATGGAAAACTAACATCATGCATTTTCCCAAAACCATAAACAGTTGATCTGTTTACTTTGATTCCTTACAAAGGTGTCACTTGTCTGAGTGGGCGTGGCCCAGTTCAGGCAGAGTGAGCATGCTGCCCAGGATCACACAAGAAGGCGCTGGGTGGATGCAGACCTGGGGTTGCTGCCTAGAAAGGGCTGTTCCTTTTTTTTTTTTTTTTTTTTACAGGCAGAGTGGATAGTGAGAGAGACAGAGAGTCTTCCTTTTTCTGTTGGTTCACCCCCAAATGGCCGCCACAGCCAGCACACTGCACTGATCCGAAGCCAGGAGCCAGGTGCTTCTCCTGGTCTCCCATGCAGGCGCACTTGGGCCATCCTTCACTGCACTCCCAGGCCACAGCAGAGAGCTGGACTGGAAGAGGAGCAACCGGGACAGAATCCAGCGCCCCGACTGGGACTAGAACCTGGGGTGGCGGCACCGCAGGCGGAGGATTAGCCTAGTGAGCCGCGACACCGGCCAAAAGGGCTGTTCTTAATCTGCTTCCCAGTGAAGGGATTTCTAGTCAGAGTACATGGGCAGTGTTGTAGGATTTTAGTAATCAATTGGAAAATCACATCAGATATTGTGGTCTTGGGCTTGTGTGCAGTTCCATCTACTTGTCATTGTGACCATAAAACCAAAGAGAGATTGTCACAAGTTCAGGTCTTATTTGCTCCCCTTGCCCTCTTTTTCCTCCTCCTGTCCCAAACCTAGAACTACGTGAAGGCTGAGGGGGAAGTAAGCCGGGCCTTGTCCTCATCGTCACTGCCTGCCTGCATTCTCTTCTACATCCTGGTCAAGGATGTGGCACAGTTACACAAAATCCTAGAATAAATAGCCAGGGACAGTAAATTTACTTTGACATGGTTTAATTTGCTTGCTGACAAATTCTTAAGTATATATTTACATAATCCAGATAATTAATCATAGAAAAGGAAAAAAATCTGGGGGACGGTGCTATGGCACAGCAGGTTAAAGCCCAGTCCTGCAGCGCCAGCATCCCATGTGGGCACCAGTTCAAGTCCTGGCTGCTCCACTTCTGATCCAGCTCTCTGCTATGGCCTGGGAAAGCAGTAGAAGATGGCCCAACTACTGGACCCCTGTACCCACATGGGAGACTGAGAAGAAGCTCCTGGCTTCAGATCAGCTCAGCTCTGGCCATTACAGTCATTTGGGATGTGAACTAGTGGAAGGAAGATCTCTCTCTGGCTCTACCTTTCTCTGTAACTCTGTCTTTCAAATAAATAAAATAAATCTTGAAAAGGAAAGGAAAAATCTTGTTTTCAAGTTCTTATTCAAACAGTAGGTAATGAAGTCTGGGGTTGTTATTTTATTATTTACTTCTCCAGGAAGATTGCAATTTAGTAGGAGGTCGTTAAGACCAAAATAATGACTTGCCTTCCCCCAAACAGGATAGACATGGCCCATTGAGTGTTTGGAGGAAGGGGAATTGCAGAGGCGCTGTGTGTCGGTGGGATAAGCAGCAAAAGGAGCGTGTTCCTGTGACTTGCTCATATCATTTAAACCAGATTTTCCGGAGTGTCAGAAGCAGAGAGTTTAAACATAGGCATAAAATTCCCAGTCAAAAGTAAATAATGTTTAGATTTTGCTTTTCTGGTTTTTAAAATAACACTTGAAACTAGGTTGTTAAATGTAACCACTGATTTCAAGGTCCTGTTAGCAGTGTCTCGTTCATCTGAATTCTCCCTACCCTGTCCCCTGACCTCTGCAGCTCTAACCATCCCACGCACCCTCAGTCCCTGCTTAGGGGAGCTGGTTGGGGTGAGCGCTGTAGCACTTTAGCTGTGAAGTCCACTTCTGATGGACAAGTCCAGCTTAGCACGGGCTGTGTGGTTGTGGACTTAACAGACTGTTGCCTGTGTTCCAAGTGGGAGCTGTCTACACCCAGATGAACCACTCTCTCTGACAGTTATTCTCCGTTGGGATCGGGGATTGATTTTGAATGGGTTAGATACTCCTTGCCGTGTCTCCCAGACAGGGGCAGCTTCTTTTCTCCAGAGAACCCCTACCCATGTCACATGGCATGTTTGTGATGATGTTGGTGTGTGCAAGACGGACGCTTCACAAACCTCCTGTCTAGCAGAATCAGGAAAGCAATCTCGTGCCCTTCTTTGTAGGGACGATGACATTGAAGTCCTCGTGGATGAAGCCTCTGACCACACTGAGGAGACCTCTCCCGTGCGAGCCGTCAGCAGAGCAGCCACGTAAGTCGACGGCTCGGGCAGGGACAAGGAGAGCTCAGAATGCGTTGACCAAGCACAGTGGTGGACACAGCTGAATAATGTGGCCAGGTGCACCCAGGCCCTGCACAGTCGCACCTGGGGCTGTGACGGTGTGGAGCCGGCTGTACCTTTCCGGTTAATGGGAGGGAAGCACAGCACTGGCACCTCGTGTATCTAAATTTAAAACCAAGCAGAGGCTCCCTACAAGATAGTTAAACGGCATGAAGCAGAGTGATTGTTCACATTGTGCTCTTTGATTCTTAGGAGGGCTCGAGGATGTGTTAGCTAGAACAGCACCGAGAGGATGAGCCTTGGCTATTAACAGCCAGAAACTGAAGTCACAGATTCCCTGTATAAGGCTTTTATTTCAAAGGAAATTGACTTAATACGGAGGAACCTTGTTTCTTTTATAACTTTGAGACTGGGGTTTCCCTTCTCCCTTCACCCTGTTTCCTGGTGGCTCAGTGCTATGCTGGGTTTCTCTCAGCTGGGGTCTGGGAACTTGTGGGAAGTGTACTCCCAGGTACCTGATTGTGTGGGCTGTTTATATTGACTGATTATTTGGGCCAAATGTTTCTAAGGTTTAAACCTATCCTCCCCTCCTCTTTAGTAAGCGACTCTCGCAGCCTGCTGGAGGCCTTCTGGATTCTATCACTAATATCTTTGGGTAGGTTAGAAGACCTTCACCTTTCCTTTTTAAAATGTGTATAAGTGTACCTAAGTGTATGTACATGATTTTTTATTTTTTTAAATGTACACCAGAGTTTTCGTGGTGCAGAGTGTACAGATGCCATAATTCCGGCCTTTCATTTAGCTTCTTCCTTTTTTCCCCCGACTTCCTTTCTCAATCTTGCTGCGTGCTGGTCTCTGGCCTCTCCCTTTAGTCTGTCCGAGTCTCCCCTTTTGGGACATCATTCCTCTTCTGATGCTGCCAGGTGAAAATGTTACCCTCTGCTAGCTCAGCATGTGAGTGTTGGTCATTGATAATTACGCTGATCACGCTGCGCTACTCGCCGTCCTCAGTGTCCACGTGCTAACCAGGACACTCTGCATGTGCCGCCCCCGAGGTGGGCAGCCGGGTTGGACTCTGCAGCCGGCACGCTCGCGTTGCTTTCTTTCGGCATGTGTTCCGCTCTGCTTTGATCACAGTGTGTGCTCAGGACTATTCTGACTGGGCACGGAAGCCGTCTTGAAGTAGTTGTGCAAAAACACCAAGCGCTGCCACTGAGCTAGCTGTTAGAGTAAGAACACGACCCAGCAGTTGTTGTTCAAGATCACTTTTCAGTGTTGAGCTTTGAAATCCACGAGTTAGTGAGCAAGAGAGCGCGGTACATGCTGGCTCCCATCCAGAGTCATCGGAGGGAGGATGCTGCTGACTCGGTGGCTCCGTCTGATGTGAAGGGTCCAGAGGAGAAAGGGCAGGCAGCTCAGGCAAGGCTGTCTCGAGCCTCTGACGGCTTGATGAACGGGGAACCCGTGCACCCCGGCTAATGCTTGCCTTTGTGTTGTTCCTTAGGAGACGCTCAGTCTCTTCCTTCCCAGTCCCCCAGGAACATGTGGATGCTCACCCGGGTTCTGGTAAAGAAGTGAGGGTGCCAACCACTGCCCTGTGTGTCTTTGTAAGTATGCTGCGACCCCAGCCCCTTCCGCCTTTCTAGGGTGGCGGCCTTGCTGCAGCTCAGCTTTCCATTGTTTGACTCAGCATCGGCCTCTTAGGAACTGATATGTTTTGCCTGGCCCTGTATGACACAGGACTGGCTGAGAGAGGATTCGGTGTGAGGGAAGGGGCAGGGGGAGTAGTGGTGGTGAGCACTTTGGGAGTAGCGGGCGGTTGGTTCTGACTTATCCTGAGATTGCAGCCAGCGATCTGTCTCGCAGGTCCAGGAGGACAGTTCTTTGTTCCGTGAGTTGTAGCCCTTGCTGTGTGAATTCTGGACGCGAGGAGCCTGTGGTGGAATCAGGCTCAGTCTTCAGAAGCTGCTGCAATGCAGGGATGTCACCTGGAGCCAGGGCTGGGTCCTGGCACTAACAAAATCATGTCCCAGCAGGAGTAAGTGAACAGGAGTTGAACCAACCCAGGGGAACATTAATACCTGGCTTGGGGCTGTCAGGGCTCAGGGGTGCAGGTGGAACTGAAGACTAGGGCCTAGAGTTCTACAGCCTTGGGATTGGCCCAGAACTTGGCGAGTTAAAGAGTCAGCTTTCCCAGCAAGGCAAGACTTGCATGTGAAGAATGAGGTGGGATTCTGCGCTGAGAGCTTGAGGCCTGAGGAGGAGCCTTCCTAGGTAGGTAGCTCCACGCAGTGATGGGCCACCTCTGGATGAGGCACTGGGCCCTCCCGCTCCACTCCCATGACTGTACAGCGGGCCGGGCACCTCACAGGTCGATGATGATTGGTAAAAGGTCTGACTGCACTGAATGTCACGGTCGCTTCCTTGCCCTCAGCTCCCAGCAGCCCATTTCTCTTTCTGCCACACTCCAGTCGTGTGTGGGGGATAATGGAGCGGCTGATAACTGGGATTTTGTCAGTGTGTGTTTCTGCGAGTGAGCAATTCACAGCTGACGATCATCCAACAGAACCGAGTCCAGAGGAGCGTGACGAGTGGCGGGCACGGCGTGACAGTGCGTGATCTCAAGTTTTCAATCTGAGACCTCGGGAGGAAGGGACCGTGACGAGGAAGGGAACTCCATGGGGTGAGGGGTGTCACTGGGTGCAGCTTCAGCTGTGAGGGAAAGTGAGAAGTCAGTTGACACATGCTGCTGATTGTCCCCAGTTCACCGGATCACTGCTGTCAGTAATATCTCAGATACCAGCCTCAGCCTGGTGAACATCAGATTTTATTTCCCAAAACGACCTGTTGGGCAGGTGAACAGTGACCCACCTAATCATCGAATATTTATAACCCGCGATTCCTGGTCTTTTTGTTCTCTTTACTGTGGAGGTTCTCACTGTGTGTGGTGGAGTGGAGAGAGTAGTGCTGACAACACCAGTCCACCACCTGGGCGGCCCGCATCATCAGGTCGCCCATTTGCCAGTGTTGCCGGCTCTCTCCCCACCCGCTGGAACAGTCTGCAGCCAATGCCAGCCAGCGTGTTTCTGGACCAGTCCCCACGGTCCTTGTAGGGCAGTCTCCTGTTCCCTCCTCTTCCCATTCTATGGTGGGCTGCTCTTGGCCTGTGTCCACTTCTCCACCAGCGCCATCTTTTCAGGCCGTGTGTTTCAGCCCACCCAGAAATTTCCCTGGAGAACTCAGGTTCTCCCGAAGTAACTGCTCCTGAAAGCCTGTTCTGGTGCAGTCCTAGATCACAAATACCTTTTTGTAAGAGAGCAAACCAAGGCTTTAAGAGATCAAAGAACCTGACAGAGCATTAAGCCTTGGAGTATAATGTAGATCACAAGTATATTCTTAAAAAAAAAAAAAGTTCTTTTTGAAAAAAGAAACTTGACAGGGGTCATTGTGCCATCATGTTTCCAGAAAGAACTGCCTAGAGTCCCATTCTGCAACACTGATGATTAGCAGTAGAACTAACATCTAGTTATGTCGTCCCCCACGAAAGCTTCCTGCCGCCTTTTATACAAATGTTCAATGTATTATTTCAGCTGCATAGTACTTAATATTAATTAGTAGTAAGCTAATATTTAATGAGTAATTATTTTCCCATGTGACAGGCAGAGAGGGAGTGGTGGGTGGGTAAGATAGAAATCTCCCATCCACTGGTTCTCTGCTCAAATATCTGCAACAGGCCAGGAGCCAGGCTCTCAGACCAGATCTCCCCGGGGGGAGGCAAGAACCCAATTACTTGAGCCATCAACATTGCTTCCCGGGGTCTGCGTTACCAGGAATCTGGAGCCTGGAATCAAACCCGGGCATTCTGCTGTGGGGTGTAGGTATTCTGACCAGTTTCTTTCTTTTTTTTTTTTTTAACGCTGTCTTAAGTAACAGCTAGTCTCACAGAAGAGAGAATACCAGAGTAGGTTAGACTTCCTTGCTATAGCAAGTGCAGATTGCATCAGATGGTTTTGACAGTCTGCCACAGTGTTGCTTGTAGTCTAACCAGTTTCTTAACCATTAGGCTAAATACCACCACCTAATGAGGAATATTTTTGGGGGACCAAAAGAGGCTTAAATGTTAGGCTTACATTTTAAGCTGTTAAAATCCATGTGAGTTGAAATGTTATTATTTTTAGAAGTAACTAAATTAATGTGAAAACAGCCTTGAGAGTCTACAAAAATAGAATCCTTTCTGAGAAGGTTGCACTGTGTTGAAGTAAACATAATTGCTCCTGAGAGTGGGGACTCGCAGGAGACCCTGGGCTAAGACTGAGTCAGTTCTCGATTGGATCCACTTGAGGTTGGGCACAAGGAGTGTCCTTTGTCTCGGGCTCCTGGGGTGATGATGATTTTGTGTGTGTGTGTGTGTGTGTGTGTGTAACAGAGTACTTGTCTTGCAGGATGCCCATGATGGGGAAGTCAACGCTGTGCAGTTCAGTCCAGGTTCCCGCTTACTGGCCACAGGAGGCATGGACCGGAAAGTAAAGCTTTGGGAAGCGTTTGGAGGTGAGAGTCCCTGGGAGTGCACAGAAGGAAGCCGTGACGGTCACCTGGCCTTCAGGTGCTCACATTTTGTGTGAGGAATCCTCCAGTCAAAGTAGCACAACCATTTCAGTTACTCTGCAGCTGAGTGCGTATTTTCTCTGGTTCTTCCAATAGTGACTGGCAAATACTAGTCATAACCGTTAAGTTATGGATACATCTGTTGGTTAAATGTTCAAATATTTACTAATCTTGCAAAAATACTATTTATAAAAGGGAAATCTTACGTCTCAAACTGTGGTATATGCATTTAATTATGGCAGTGCAGTACCTAGGAAAGAAATGACCACAGTCATGTCTCAGCTAGCGAGGAAGAGGGTTGTTAACCAGAAACTGTAATTGAGCAAACACCTCACCTAAGGTCTCCTCAGATCAAGACTGCTCAGAGTGCTGAAGCCCAGTTTTTACTAAAATGAAGTCACGGAGTAAGGCTAAGAGACTGGAAGAACCAGTTTGGGGGCCAACATTGTTCCACAGCAGGTTAAGCTGTTGCCTATGATGAAGGGGTCCCAAGTGAGTGCTGGTTGGCGTTCCAGGTGCTGTAGTTGCAAGCCAGCTATCTTCAGATGTGCCTGGGGAGACATTGGAGGATGACCAAGGGCTTTACCCCTGCTACCTTTGTGAGAGACCCAAATAGAGTTTCATGCTCCTAGATTAAGCCTTGCCCAGCCCTGGCTGTTGAGGCCATTTGGGAATGAACCAGTAGTTAGAAGATCACTCCCTCTCTCTCCATTAACTCTGCCTTTCAAATAAGTAAATCGGGGGGCCTGGAGCTATGGCACAGCAGATTAAGTCGCTGCCTGCAATGGCTGCATCCCATATAATCTCTACTTCCTATCCAGGCCCCTTTTAATACACCTGGAAAAGCAGTGGAAGATGGCCCGGGTTCTTGGGCCTCCTGTACTCATGTGGGAGAAGCTCCTCACTCCTGGCTTCCACCTGGCTGTTGGCATCCATTTCTGGAGCGAACCAGTGGATGGAAGTTCTCTTTCTCCTTCTCTATGTAACACTTTCTTTCAAATAAATAGGTTCTTAAAAAAGCAAAAAAAATAATAATAATATAGGGGCTGGAGTTGTGGCATCACAGGTTAAGTCGCCGCTTGTCACCAGCATCCCATAAGGGTACCAGTTCACATGCTGGCTGCTCCCCTGTCCACCCAGCTCCCTGCTAATGCGCCTGGGAAGAGGCAGCGGCCAGGCCCCGCCAGCCCATTGCAACTTTTGGGGGGAGTGAACCAGGAGACGGCAGATCTATCTCTTTCTCTCTGTAGCTCTGCCTTTCAAATAAGTAAAATCTTTTTTTAAGTAAATTTAAAAATATATACATACATTTTAAAAAGAGCCCCACTGTTAAGGCTCCCATAACTGTAGTACATCTGATACCACCGTCAAATAATAAATAGCTCAAATGACATTTTCTATGGTAAATCCTCTACTCCTTGTGATAGCCCTGGGAATTTAGAAAGGTGAGTGTTGCCCCTGTTTGACAGATGGAAGACAGTAAGACTCACAGACTACGTGATTCCATGTTGAGGGAGTGGTGCTAGGACCTGTCTAGTCCATGGGACTTGAAGTTCAGTGTTTGTCCTCCACTAACAACTTCCCTGCTCAATAGAGTAGCCTACAGAGCAGATGGGTTATGTACCTCAATCCCTGGTAGTTACAGCCCTCTGGAACCCATAAAACTTTCCTGTTTTTCCCACAAGCACTGCATTTATTTATGAATAATGACGGCTAAAATTATAAACAATAACACCCATAAATCAATATCCCAAAATAACAAGTTTTAAGTGGTTTGGTTAATAAAATATAAGCAGATTATCTATTTTAATCACACTTGAGATTAAGTAGAAGTAACACAAAATAGTTTTTTATTTTACTCCTTGGTCAGTAAATACCCATAAAAAATCGGAGGCGCCAACCTTTAATCTATTTACAATGCTAAGTTTTTCTGGCAGAAAGGAAAGTACACACTAACTGAAACTGATGCCAACCTGCTTTGGCAGTTGTACCGAGTGTGCAGAAGTAACAGAATGTTATCGGCCATGTCCTGACTGGAGGCCCTTCCTTCCACACACAAGGCTTTTCAGTTTGCAGCTGGTTTTCCCCTTGGCTAATATTGACTGACGCTTGGAAGAAACCAAGACCAAGACCGTTTATGAAATGTCCCAGCTGTCCTGTGTTAAGCCCTTAGACTACTGAAGAATGGCTCTTTCCGCCCAGCAGGGACATCTGTTCTTGCTCATTCTCTCGGAAGCGGACGCTGCGCTGGGAAGTGATACAGTGCTGTGGATGGAGCCGCTTCTGGGGGTGTAGAGACAGGAACTTTAACAAAACCTGTGTCCTTTTGAGTTAGCTTGGATTGGTCATCTTTATTTATTTATTTGAAAGATTTATTTATTTATTTGAAAGTCAGAGTTACACAGAGAAGGAGAGAGAAAGGTCTTCCATCTGCTGGTTCATTCCTCAATTGGCCACAACGGCCAGAGCTGGGCTGATCAGGAGCCACGAACTTCTTCTGAGTCTCCCATGTGGGTGCAGGGGCCCAAGGACCTGGGCCATCTTCTTCTGTTTTCCCAGGCCACAGCAGAGAGCTGGATCAGAAGTGGGGCAGCCAGGACTACAACCAGCGCCCCTATGGGATGCTGGCACTGCAGGCAGCGGCTTTACCTGCTATACCACAGTGCTGGTCGTCTTCTAAATGCCAAACAAATAACACCAATATTTTGGGCTTAAACCACAGAGGTATTTATTAGGATTTGCAGTAAAAATTTTTCTGTAAACATCTGAAATAAAGCAAGACCTTCACTAGTGGATATTAGCCTTTTTCGGCTCTTTCGAAAATCTGATGAAACCTAGGCTCTAGGGAAAGGCCCTCGAGTACTGTACCTCACTGATAGACCCAAGCCAGGGTTCAGTGCCTCCTGCCCTGGGTGTGTATGCCAGCTTCACCAGCCAGACACCCTAACAGTGACCGTGGCTCAGGGGCATCGAGATAATCCTACTGGTACCCTAGTTCCTAACTTACCTCTACCACTGTGCACTCAGAACAGCCTTAATGCAAGCTTCAGAAAAGGAACTCAGGTTGAGACTTTCTCTTCCTAGTTTGTGATTGCATTATTCAGGCGGGTAGGTGGGTGGGTGGCCAGAGCTGTCAGCCGGGCCACAGACTCTGTGCCGTGGGCTCTGTTGGGGAGCACGGCTGTCTGAGGAGGGGAGGCTGGCAGTTCACTTGCCAGGCTCAGAGGTGCAGTGAGGACAGACTCCAGTAACTCCAAGATAGCTTTGCTGGCGTTTGAATGTGACAACCAAAATGCTTTTCAGACCTTAGAATTATTCTGTGGATTCTGAAATTTTGATGGTCAGTTTCTACAGAAGTGGTGGTTCACACAAATACTTATTAAACGCAAAAGTTTATTAATATTGGAAAAGTTTGATGGGATGACAACTAGATAATGGTTCCACTGACAAGTTTCCTAAATCCCTAGCATATCGTAAAGGGAACTGTTAACTAACTTTCCTTAAAAATAGCTTAAGGACTCAACATGCAAAGGGCTAGCGTCTGGATCCTCATTCATTCTTAGAGTCTTAGCAGATTATTCTGTCAGTGCATTTGCGTGCTGCTTGATTATGTTGAATAAAGGAAGCTGTTCTTGACTATGTAGTTGGCTTCTAGTGTACCTGGCACCCATTTTAGCTCATTTACTGACTTTATGTAACTTCCTGTCTTCTCTCACTTTTTTTTCATACAGACAAATGTGAGTTTAAGGGTTCCCTGTCTGGCAGTAATGCTGGCATCACCAGCATTGAATTCGACAGTGCTGTAAGTATCTCCTGCTTTAGAGTTCAGAGGTCCGAGGGACAGCCAAGGCATCCAGTTCTTGAAATTGAAAAGTGACTTATTTGATTTCTCTGCCGTTCTGTGTCTAACAAATCATGTTAGAAAAAGGTTCAAGCAGATTGTAGGATTATTGATACATTAACTTTGCTAAAATCTTGGGTTTGCAATTCTGCGTTAGCCTGTGTTAGTACTCTTTGATTCCATTTCATGGTCACTTTTTGAGTGTTAAGATTCTGTACTCAAGGCCAGTGTGGTCCTTACACTCAAAGATTCACCATTTAAACAGGAGTAGTGAGAAAGCACTTACTTATTCATAGATTTATTTTTAGAGATTTATTTATTTGAAAGGCAGAGTTACAGGGAGATACACAGAGGTCTTCTGTCTGCTGGTTCACTCCCCAAATGGCCACAAGAGCTGGGGCTGGGCCAGGCCAAAGCTAGGGAGGGGCCCAAGGCCCTGGGCCATCCTCTGCTGCTTTCCCAGGTGCATTAACAGGGAGCTGGCTCAGAAGTGGAGCAGCCCAGACTTGAGCCAGTGCCCCTATGGGATGCCAGCGCTGCAGGTAGCCTGCTGTGCCACAACACTGGCCCCGGGAAAGCACTTAAGTGCTGGTCTCTGTGCTCACAGTATGAGGGAGTGTGAGAGGAAATGCCAGTGAAGGAGCTTTTCATTTTGGTCAGGACTTGGGGACCAGAACAGGATGTTGCTACAGAGGTAGCTGATGAGACAGTGCAGAAGGTCAGTCTCAGGCAGAGGAAGCAGAAAGGCTTCTGGGCGGGACTGGTGCCGTGGCTGGTGTGCAGGTAAGAGCTGGGTGGGTTGAGGGTCGCTCTGTCAGTTCTGCAGAGACTCAGGTTCAGTCATCCCGGGGAGCCTTTGCCACATCTGTGGGTGGCTGTGGTCCTGCTGCATTCACACAGTGCCGGGGCACCCTGCTTCGGAAGGGTTACCACCAGAGCGCTGCTGTTGCTAATCTGAGAACCAGCTCCTTGCAGACAGTCAGTATGTTAACCATCTTTGTTCTCCCAGCATGGTGGCCCACACTACTATGTTCTTACTGCTCTTTGAATTTAATTGCAGAATGATAAGGAAACAAGGTTGGCAAGTTTGGTGTGGGGTTACAGTGTGTGTGGTGTCCAAAGAGGTGAGGCCTTTAAGGATTGTTAAAGACAGGTGTGGCATTCAATTCTGGGATACGTGCCATGGCTTGTGCTTTAATTATCACTGGCCAAGCTGGGGCTGAGGTGTTAGGGCTGGAGAGTCAGGGTCTCACTGGACGTGTTAGAGGTGGACAGTCTTAGACAGGCATTGTGGGGAGATGAGGGGTGAGGTGGGTACTTGAGTTTCTGGCTTGGGCAGTATGTAAAGAATTGGTGTTTGCTGTTTTTTGGCATGGTGAGTGGCGTGGCTGCGGGGGCTGAGTTTTGTGTTGTACTTGAGCACAAAACATTCAGGTGAAATTGAGTGAGTCCAAGCAAAAAGTCTGAACTTGGAGGAACTTGGTGAGTTTGCTGTGATAGTAATTGGTTTTGAGAATTGGTTTAGGCATCTAAGCCTTCTTAGACCTGGTTACTGGAAAATTGGTGTTCTGTGGACTGAATTTTTCTCTTTTGGCTGAAAGTCACTTTTCTTTGTTCTTTATAGGGTTCTTACCTCTTAGCAGCTTCCAATGATTTTGCAAGCCGAATCTGGACTGTGGATGATTATCGATTACGGGTAAGACCCAGTTAAGAAAGTATTATCGCCAAACTTTATGTGTTTATCACAGCCCACAATGCAGAAAAAATGACAGGTGTCTCCTTAGGGGGCTCTGTGCCTTTTCCTAAAAAGTCGTACTTGATTCACTTGGTCTTTTCCTTTTCTCCTTAGAAAAATTTGTTTCCAGTTTGTTTTCTTACTGTGTCCAAGATTCAGTTTCAAAATATTTGAAATAGGGCCCTTGCATTTCCATGAAAGACTTGGAACACTCCTGTCCGTAAGCGCTTGCTCCTGTGGTAGATAGCAGTTTTAGCTTAGGGTGATTCTCCCTGGCCCTGAGCCCTGTTACCACAGAGTCCTGCAGGAAAGCAGGACATAGAAGTACATAGGGGCCGGCGCCACGGCTCACTAGGCTAATCCTCCACCTTGCGGCGCCGGCACACCGGGTTCTAGTCCCGGTCGGGGTGCCGGATTCTGTCCCGGTTGCCCCTCTTCCAGGCCAGCTCTCTGCTGTGGCCAGGGAAGTGCAGTGGAGGATGGCCCAGGTCCTTGGGCCCTGCATCCCATGGGAGACCAGGAGAAGTACCTGGCTCCTGCCATCGGATCAGCGTGGTGTGCCAGCCACAGCACGCTGGCCGCAGCGGCCATTGGAGGGTGAACCAACGGCAAAGGAAGACCTTTCTCTCTGTCTCTCTCTCTCACTGTCCACTCTGCCTGTCAAAAAAAAAAAAAAAAAAGAAAGTACATAGGGTGTTCTTAGGATAGAGGCAGACAACTCAGAAACAACAGAAATGCATGCCGGGCACAGGAGGCTGATACCAACGAAGGGAGAATATTTGGATTAGCTTTTGAGGAAACTTGGATTTGAACCAAACTTGCTCGGAGGCAGACGAGAAAAAAAGCACAGCTTGGTTGTGACACCGCTTTTTTTCCTACTGGGGGAAAGCATGCAGCTTAATGTGCTGAGACGTGTTCTCCTTACGCTTGAAGGAGGCAGAGGATGACTCCTCAGAAAGTGCCATTGAGAGACAGGATGGAGGAGTGCGTGCTGCCTGCGCGCCAGCCCACACCCAGAGCAGGCTGCGGTGCCGCAGGGCGACGGGAGAGCTGCAGGGGAGCAGTCTGCTGGGTGGACGGCTGGTCTGGCGGGAGGATTCAGGATGCAGCCGAAAGAATATTTCCCGACGCACCAGTCAGTCTGTCCCTGAGGCTTTCTGTTTGCTTGAAAGAGTCACGTAGGAGACCATGAGTATCAGGTGCTAGCCGGTGTCTCAAAGACAGTAATGTTGGTTCTCAGCTGAAAGAAGATCCGGGTCTCGACATGAAAGTATGAGCCCCGAGACAGAGGTTGGGTTGTGAGAGCTGAAGAGCCCGCTGGAAAGCCCGGGGACGTGGACTGCTCGAGAGCTGGCCGTGGGCTCCGTGCCTGCAGATACCTGAGCATGTTTTCCATCGAGGCATCACTGGGCGTCACAGGTGGCGTCTTAGCCACTGCACTAAATGCCCACCCCTACGTCCCATAATTTTAAGGACACCCAATTAATTTCAGTTAATATGTCAGGATTTGCAAAACTGGTGCCCCTATTGGCACATACATTGATTCTTTTTCTTTAAAAGATTTGCTGGCCGGCGCCGCGGCTCACTAGGCTAATCCTCCACCTTGCGGCGCCGGCACACCGGGTTCTAGTCCCGGTCGGGGCACCGGATTCTGTCCTGGTTGCCCCTCTTCCAGGCCAGCTCTCTGCTGTGGCCAGGGAGTGCAGTGGAGGATGGCCCAAGTGCTTGGGCCCTGCACCCCATGGGAGACCAGGATAAGCACCTGGCTCCTGCCATCAGATCAGCATGGTGCGCCGGCCGCAGTGGCCATTGGAGGGTGAACCAACGGCAAAGGAAGACCTTTCTCTCTGTCTCTCTCTCTCACTGTCCACTCTGCCTGTCAAAAAAAAAAAAAAAAAAAAAAAAAAAGAAAAGAAAAGAAAAAGATTTGCTCATGTTTTTGAGAGGTAGCATTGCAGAGAGAAGGAGAGACAGAGAGATCTTCCATCTGCTGGTTCACTCCCCCAAATGGCTACAACAGCCAGAGCTGAGCCGATTCGAAGCCAGGAGCTTCTTCCTGGTCTCCCACATGGATGCAGGGACTCAAGCGCTTGGGCCTTCTTCCACTGCTTTCCCAGGCCATTAGCAGAGTACTGGATCGGAAGAGGAACAGCTGGGACATGAACCAGTGGCCATATGGGATGCTGGCGCCACTCAGGCTTAACCTACTACACCACAGCACTGTTGTTTTTTAAGATTTATTTTATCTATTTGAAAGGCAGAGTTCTACAGAGAGAGAGATCTTGCATCCACTGGTTCACTCCCCAGATGGCCTTAATGGCCAGGGCTGGATCAGGCTGAAGCCAAGTGCCAAGAGCTTCCTCCAGGTCTCCCATGTGGATGCAGGGACACAAGCACTTGGGCCATCCTCCACTGCCTTCTCAGGCACATTAGCAGGGAGCTGGATTGGAAATGAAGCAGCCAGAACTCCAACCAGTGCCCGTATGGGATGCCGGCAGCTTAAGTGGTGGCCTTACCCCTGCACCACAATGCCCGCCTGCACTACTTTTAATCCTCAGAAACCAGATGATATAGGTGGATGAGAAAATAAATTCAGATAGAGCAGAAGTGATCAAGGCAGACACGTGGCCTTGCCTATACGAGGCCCTTGGAGCAGTATTTCCAGAGACGGAATGAGGAAAGCAGCTGATCGGATGCTGGCTTTATTCCTTTCTGTGACTGCATCCTAGAAGTAGCCAGTATTGAGAGGGGGAAGTCTAGTGAAGGCCGAATGTTCTGGCTGCTCTGCCAGGTCTGCCTTGAACCGTATTGAAGACCCCACCTGCTCACTTCTGCAGGTGCATATGAAAAAGCCAGGTGCTGGTTGTTATTTCAGAAACTTGCTGAATGAGTTCTGTCCTCAGCTGGGATTAGTTGTCTTTGGTTAGGGCTCATGTTAGCTGTATGGTGAGGCCTTGCTGGAACAGGCTGTTTTGTCTCCACAGACAGTGTGCAGCCCACAAGGTCTGCTTTGAAGCTCAACAGGAGCTTGTGGAGAGCCCACTAGAAAATAAATCTCCAAGTCTCCCCATATCGAGGTTCGGGCTATGGTCACATCTGAACCCACCGGCCCTTAGTCCCTATGTAAGAGTGGAAAATAAAACCTATAACAGTGTTAAATGTTTTTTAAAATTTTTCAAATATACTTAATGAATAAAATAATTTTAGTTTAGTCCACTTGGAAGGGCTTTGGTAAAAATTGAATGATAGTAGGAAGTGACCCCAAACTCGGGGGTCGCTGGCCAGCCTCAGGCAGGTCCCTGTGGGCTCCCCCCAGAAACAAGATGGACAGAAGCTCCTGCTTTGTGGGGGAAAAGCTGGTAATGCAGGCCAAGAGCCAGGAGGTTGGGATGTCCTTTATTACAGTGGCAGAGAGACAGACTGAGACAGAGGTCTGTCTGCCGATTGGCTCCCTAAAGACTCACACAGCCAGGGCTGGACCAGGCCAAAGCCAGGAGCCAGAAACTCAGTCGGACTCACCCAGGTCTCCTGTGTGGGTGGTGGGGACCCAAGAACTTGAGCCATCACTTGCTGCCTCCCGAAGTGTGTATTAGCAGGAGCCTGGTTGGTAGAGCCAGAACTTGAACCCAGACACTCCAGTATGGGACGTGGGCACCCAGCCAGCATCTTCACCCCTGCTCCAGTCGTCTGCCCCTGTTGTGTGTTGCAGGGGTCGGGAATGTCTGGCCTGCAAGCCTTATAAAACCCACGAAATCTGTTTCTTCTGGGCCTGCCAAGGCAACCGCAGACAGACTTGAAATTCAGTAAATCTATAGCAGGTTAGTTTTTAAGTTGATGATTTTGTATGGCCGCGTTATGAATAAATATCCAAGTGGCCCTTGGCAGAAAAAAGTTCCCTACCTTTCATCTACAGTATGCAAACTTGAATGTGTGGTCATTGTTTAGTATGTTGGTTTGAGTATTGCCTCAGGTACCCAAGTTCCTAATGTAATATGATACAGGGCCAGCATTGCAGCATAGCAAGTAAAGCTGCTGCCTGTGACACCGGCATCCCATACGGGCGCCAGTTCATGTCCCAGCTGCTCCACTACCCAGCTAGCTGCCTGCTAATGGCCTGGGAGAAGCCGCGGAAGATGTCCCAAGTATTTGGGCCCCTGCCACCCACATGGAAGACCTAGATGAAGCAAATAAATCTCTTTCTTTAAAAGATTTATTGGGGCCAGCGCTTTGGCAGGTAAAGCCGCCGCCTGCAATGCTGGCATCTCATGGGCACCAGTTCAAGACCCGGCTGCTCCACTTCTATGAGCTGGGAAAGCAGTAGAAGATGGCCCAGGTCCTTGGGCCCCTGCACCCATGTGGGAGACCCGGAAGAAGCTCCTGGCTCCTGGCTTTGGATCAGCACAGCTCCAGCCATTGCAGCCAATTGGGGAGTGAACCAGAAGATGGAAGATTCTCTCTCTCCCTCTCCCTCTCCCTCTCCCCCTCTCTCTCTCCCTCTCTCTCCCTCCCTCTGCCTTTTCTTCTCTCTGTAACTCTGACTTTCAAATAAATAAATCTTTAAAAAATAATAATGAAATATAATAAAAAATTTATTGGTTTACTTGAAAGAATTATAAAGATAGATAGAGATCTTCCATCCGCTGGTTCAGTCCCCAAATGGCCATAATGCCAAGGCTGGGCCAGGCTGGAGCCAGGAGCTTCATCCAGATCTCCCACATGGGTTCAGGGGTTCAGGGTCCATCTTCTGCTGTCTTCCCAGGCACATTAGCAGGGAGCTGGATTGGAAGTGGAGCACCTGAGACTCAAACCTGTGGGATGCTGATGGTGGCTTAACCTGCTACACCACAGCGCTGGCCCCTGTAAAGAAATCTTTAAAGAAACAAAATCAAATGATGTGGTTGCCTGTAATGTATGCATCTCCTCCTTTGTATTTTAAATAATCTCTAGATCATGTGGTAATACCTAATACAAATAAATAGTTGGCATAGGCCATATTGCTTGACAAGAAAAAGAACCACAGTTTTACATATTCAGTGCAGACATAATTTTGTTGTGGGGCATCTTCAGTTCCTGGTTGGTTGAGTCTGCTGTGGCTGGGAACGCTGGTGGTCTTCACGTGGCCCCTGTGTGATGGGGTCTGTTTTCTTCTTAAGGTCGTGAAATGTAATTTCACTCTAACAGTGAGGAAGATAGTGTTGTATCCAAGACTTTTGAGTTTCTGGTAGGATGGTTGTTCAGGATTTAATTCTCAAAGCACGAGAGGTGGTCTACCTGTTTTCTTCCCCGGAGTTGTACAGCCGGGGTGATTCATGCCAGGTGTAACACGGGCACTCTCCTGTTGTGTGTTTAATGTCATCTTGCTGCTGGAGCTCTCTTCACCTTGCCACAGCTGCCGCGCGGCCGCCACCTGACTGGCAGCAGTGATAATGTGCTGTCCTGGTTTGTGAGCTCACATCCGTCTCCGCTTAGCCCATTGGTGAAGGAAAGTGTACATGGCCTGAAGTTTTCTATTCTTAAGTGAACAGGAAGAATCTTAACTTCTTGCTCCACAGCGAATACAAGAAAGACCAGTTTTTAAGGTATTGACACTGAAGTATGATGGTGCAGTTGGAACTAAGCTAACAGTTGTAGCTAGTTCTGTTACGGCTTTAAAAGTAATTAGAATGAAAACCTCAGTCAATGACTTCAGCCTTGAGTTTACAGGTATAAAAACGCCCATCCTGGGTGCCGGTGTTGTGGCCCTGTGGATTAAGCCACCACATGTGACGCTGGCCTCTCGTATTAGAATGCCAGTTCAATTCCTGGCTGTTAGGCTTCTGATCCAGCTGCCTGCTGATGCGCCTGGCAAGGCAGCAGCAGATGACCCAAGTGCTTGGTGCCTGAGACCTGGGTGGAGTTCCTGGCTCCTGGCTTCAGCCTGGCCCAACCCACGCTTCCCCAACTTGCAGCAGTTTGGGGAGTGGTTGGAAGATTTCTTTCTCTGTCACTCTTTCAAATAAAATCTGTGAAAAATAAAATTTTGAAAATGTGAATCCCAGAACAAACTTGAAGCACATGTGGGCTAACCTGATGCTTGTGACACCAGCATCCCATATTGGAGTGCAGGTTCAAGCCCTGGTTGCTCCACTTCTGATCCAGCTTCCTGCTAAGGCCTTTGGGAAGGCAGTAGAAGTGCCCCTGCTGCCCACATGGTAGACGTGCAGTTCCTGGCTAATGGCTTTGGCCTGATCCGGACAAAACATGTGTGTCCCACCCTGAAAAGAGGTCAATGATGAACAGTAAAAGGTCTGATTGCCCAGGTGCCCCTGCTTCCCAGCAGTCCCCAGCCGCCTCTCTCCCACAGGCTCCAGGTGTGCTGTTGTGGGCCAGAGGGCTGCTGACACTGTGTGATGTCCCCATCCCGCCTTCCCTGATGAGCCTGGGTGAGGCACGTGGTCGGCATCCAACAGCATAGTCACTGAGGGGTCTGGTGTTGGGTGCAGGCGTCTGCGGTGTGATCTGCCCTTTGCAGCTGAGACCTCAGTAGTGGTTGGGTTAAGTCTCTCTCTCTCTCTCTCTCAGATTTATTTATTTATCTATTTGAAAAAGTTGCACAAAGAAGGAGAGGCAGAGAGAGAGATCTTCCATTTGCTGGTTCACTCCCCAATCGGTCGCAACGACTGGAGCTGCGCCGATCGGAGCCAGGAGCCTCCTCTGGGTGTCCCACGCAGGTGCAGGAGCCCAAGGACCTGGGCCATCGTCCACTGCCTTCCCAGGCCATAGCAGAGAGCTGGATCAGAAGTGGAGCAGCCGGGACTCGAACCGGCACACATAATGTGACGCCAGCACTGCAAATGGGGGCTTTACCCGTTATGCCACAGTGCCCGCCCCCTGTCTCTCCTTTGTATGCTATTCCCCTGGGGCCCCTGTCCATTCTGACTGAATGTGGAGCTGACTTGGAGCAGCACTGACTAAAACCCAGACTTTCTACAGGCTTAGCCAGATCGTCCACAGACTCACAGAGGATGTCAGGACAGTCCAGGCAGGTGCCTGCTCAGAAATGATTTTGCGGGGGTCCTCCCACCACTCTTCCCTTTTCTTGAGGACAGGGAGGGGGCACGTGAAGTTTGGTGCTATGCTGTTGACTTTTTGGAATGCTGTTAGTGGGAGATGGCTCCTCCTGGTGCTGTACTCTGTGGGCAGTACCCACAGAGGAGCTTTCTCAGGGTTTCTGAGTGGCCTCACATGAACCATGAGGCCTCTGTGGTGGAGATTCAGTGACGGACAGTGTTTGTGTCCTGTGCGGTCTCGTCACTGTGAGTGTTCCTGGATGTGCCCTGGGTCTCCGAGACTGCCTGGAGGGGGGGGTGCTGTGGCCCCTCCAGCAGCCTGGCCGGCGTGTGGCGTCCCCAGACTGAACGTGGCTGTGTTCTCTTTCTAGCACACACTCACGGGACACAGTGGGAAAGTGCTCTCTGCCAAGTTCCTGCTGGACAACGCACGGATCGTGTCGGGAAGTCACGACCGGACCCTCAAACTCTGGGACCTGCGCAGCAAAGTCTGTGAGGAGACTCAGTCTCTCTGTGTGTGTGCTAGACTTGGCGGGACTTGGCGTGTGTGCTGGCTTCCTGGGCAGAGCCTGCGTTTGTTGGGAAGCAGTTTAAACTTCGGGTCCAATTCATACTCAAGCGCTCAAGCAGCGACAGTTTTTCTTGTTTGAGACGTTATTGAAATTAGTGATTCCGATGGCTCAGTGGTTAGTGTGCAGTGGCGTTGTATGCATAGCCACGTAGGTGCCCTGCGTGATTGACGGTGTTTGCTTTTCTTTCAGGCATAAAGACAGTGTTTGCAGGATCCAGTTGCAATGATATTGTCTGCACAGAGCAGTGTGTAATGAGTGGACATTTTGACAAGAAAATTCGTTTCTGGGACATCCGGTATGGCGCCCAAGAGCTTGGAAGGGGGGTGGGGAGGGGCAGGCTAGAGGGTCTGTGTGTTTAAATCTCAGGAGGTGCCCTAACAGACTTCAGGGTTCACCGTTGAGTACTTCAGCAGTCGGTCATTGAGCCTGCACCGTGCACCAGGCGTTTTACTAGCAGCTCAGCAGAGACAGACGAGATACTCTTCTACCGAAGGCAATTAAAGTATGAGAGAAAACAGAGAACGGTGTGCTAGAGCAGGCCTGTGGAACATCCCATATGGGCGCTGTTCCACTTGTGATCCGGCTTGCTGCTGATGTGCCCGAAAGGAGTAGAAGATGACCTGAGTGCCTGGGCCACCCATGTGGGAGACCCGGTTGGAGATTCAGGCTCTCTGCTTCAGCCTGGCCCAGGCCCGGCCATTGCAGCAATTTGGGGAGTGAACCAGGGATGGAAGCTCTCTTTTTCTCTGCCTCTGCCTCTGCCTCTCTGTCTCTGTCTCTCTCTCTCTCTCTCTCTCTCTCTTTGTCTGTAACTCTGCCTTTCAATAAATAAATCTTTAAAGAAATTTTTAAAAATGCTAGGTGATAAAAGGTTTAGGGTGGAGGGAAAACTCAGGAGTCCTCAGTGAACGAGGGACTCTGAGGACAGACGTGCTTACTCAGAATAACCACAAAAAGCAAGGATAGCGTTTTGGGGCCTGTTCCAGGGGGCTGGCCAAAGGAAGCAAGCTGGGCAGGTCACATCTGTCAGTGACCGCTGCAAGAGCAGAGCAGTCGGCTGCCCAGAAAGGCGATGAAAGGAGGTCTGGGGTTGGTTGCAGAGAGAACGAGGAGTGAAGACCTGTGGTCGGAGCTGGTGCTTACAGTTCTAGAGGCTGTAGGTCCAGGATTGGGCAGGCACACCTGGCGAGGGCCTCGTGCTGTGTCATCGCGTGGCAGGATTGTGTGCTGCAGTATGTGCGGAAGAACCCACGCTTGGGGTGGCCTGGGTGTTTTGTTAATTTACTTGAAAGGCAGAATCACAGAGAACGAGAGGAGGGGAAGGAGAAGGAGATCTTCCATCCGTGGGTTCACTTTGCAGGTGGCTGCGATGGCTAAGGCTGGGCCAGGCAAAAGCAAGGAGCCAAGAACTCCATCTGGGTCTTGCCATGTGGGTGTCAGGAGGCCAAGTACTTGTACCATATTCCACTGTTTTCTTAGGCACATTAGCAGGAACCTGGATTGGAAGTGGAGCAGCCAGGACTTGAACAGGTGCCCATGTGGGATGCCAGCACTGCAGGTGGCGGCTTAACATGCTATGCCACAATGCCATCCCCATGTCATGAATTCTTTTTTTTTTTTTTTAAGATCTATTTATTTATTTGAAAGTCAAAAAGAGATATGCCACAGTACCAGCCCCAGGTGAGGAGTTCTGAGACTGACTCAGTACCATTACTGCAGGACCTACCCGTGGGTAGAGATGAAAACAGACCTGTGGCATTTGTGAGGCTTCTCCAGGAGAAGGTTCCATTCTAGCTGATTGTAGTGCTTACTGTGTGTGTGAGTGTTTGTGCGTGTGTGTCCATCCTGGTTAAAATAGAGATGCCTGTTCTCTCCACATCACGCTTCTCAGATGTTTCTTCTCTCTCAGATCAGAGACGATCGTCCGAGAGATGGAGCTGTTGGGGAAGATTACTGCCCTGGACTTGAACCCAGAAAGGACCGAGCTCCTGAGCTGCTCCCGTGACGACCTGCTCAAAGTTGTTGATCTCCGAGCGAATGCTGTGAGGCAGACATTCAGGTAACAGCTGGCGGGCAGTGCCCTGCAGTGCTGGGAGAGCAGGCCCTGGCATCGGCCCGCTGGCTAACACACCTGCTGCTTTCGCAGTGCGCCTGGATTCAAGTGCGGCTCTGACTGGACCAGAGTTGTCTTCAGGTTAGTAGTGATGTCCCCACCCCCAATTGGGGCCATCTCGAAGGTTCGTACAGAGGTAGAGAGCAACATTTGTCTGGTGTCTCCACCTGAGTGCCCGGAGTGCGCCTGAGGTCATGTTTGTTTGGGTGTGGGGGGTGGTTAGGGACCTCGGTTCCCAGAAGTCACCCAGTGCCGCTCTTCTGCAGCTGGGCGAGGCCAGACTGGCAGATAGCATTGGCATCTGCTGCCTGTGTGTGCAGAGGGCAAGGTCGTGTGTGTGTCTTGTGCGGAATGACCCCTACTTCCTAGAGGGCCGTGCAGTGGAAGGTGGGAGTTGACTGCTGTTCCTCGTGTCCCGTCTCCTCCAGCCCCGATGGCAGTTACGTGACAGCAGGCTCGGCCGACGGCTCGCTCTACGTGTGGAGTGTGCTCACGGGGAAAGTGGAGCAGGTGCTAACGAAGCAGCACAGGTAAGGTGACCCCGCCAGCGTGCTCGCCTCCCCGCGCTTGAGGGCAGGCCTGGGCCTCCGTCATCCCCGGGAGGGCGGCACCCACTCACGGGAGCCGTGTTAGTGCAGAGGCTGTGGCTCTTCCCATAGAACGACAGACAGGTTCCTGCAGAATGTGGATCTCCCTGTGAGCAGGGAGAGGGCGAAAGAAACGCCTCCCCGGGTCGCTTCTGTTCTATCCACTCTCCACGCCGCTCTCCCTGGCAGCCCCTTTCATCAGCAAGCCGACCTGCTCCTGTACTCTGTTCGGCACCTGAGCGGTGTGGCCCAGGGCCCTGTTTTCCTTTGTCTATTTCTGTGCACCCAAGTCGGTTGGACGACGCTGGTTTTCCTCAGAGCCGCCTCTCACGCTGCACCAGGCAGCAGCGTACCTCTCCCGGCTGCCTACCCAGTGCAGCCCATGCCAGTCCTGGGACCCTCTCGGGCTTGTGTGTGATGCCTCTGTCTCCCTGGTGCGCTCAGAACTACTCAGGGAGAACCGAGGAGGCCTGTTGCTGAAGCAGCCAAGCTCGTTCCTCCTGACCTGCCCAGTGAAATACAGCACAGGGCTCCCTAGAGCGCCCCCGCAGGATTCCAGAGCACGTGGAACTGTGTGGGTGTGGCTGGCTGAGCTCTCAGCAACTTGATGTCCTTGTGGTCTCTCCTTTGAAGCTCATGCATCAATGCGGTGGCATGGTCCCCCTCCGGCCTCCACGTGGTCAGTGTGGACAAAGGCAGCAAAGCCGTGCTGTGGGCACAGCCGTGATGGACCTCCCGGGAGAAGCACAGGACTCTGCAGCTCTGGCCTGGTGAATGTGTGTCTGCCCGGAGAAGGGCTCAGGCCAAGGCTCAGTGGCCTTTTGAACAGGATTTCCTAGAATCTTGACTGAGGTCTGTAATGGCCCGGAAGAATCACACTGAAACAATCTGACCCTGTGGTCGCTCAGCAGAGGTTCAGGTTCCTGCCTTGCTTCCAGTGGGAAACACTACTAGCTCTGATCTTCCATACCTCATTGGGCAGGGGAGCACAGGCCCCTGCTAGGTCTCCTCACTGGACAGCAGTGCCAAAAACACCCGACCTGTCCAGGCGTCGGTTCGCTCTGTGCTTTCTCCTGGCCTTCCAGTCTGTTCTCACCCAATGCATGCTCCCCCCTTGGGCTCGTTTGCTCCATGAAATCGCTTTAAACCTAAGATTAATGGGACCCCAGCCCAGGGCCCGTCCTGATGCTGAGACCCTGGGGTTGGGCCAGGGCTTCTGTGCAGATCACGTCTGACCCCTCGGAAGCTCCTGACGTCCCTGCAGCTGTTCTGCAGAGCTTGACTCACTGTCCCAGCACATCTGCGTATCTATTTCCTGATCAAGAAATAAACACCCATTTGGCTTCTAAGTAGAGGAGGAAGCGTGGAAACCTCCTGCCAGAGTGGATTCACTGCGGTGTGAGGAGCGTGCTCCTGTGTCGCTCGGCTCATGCTCAGAAGGCGGCTGCACACCACGTCTGCTGTGGCAAGGGGCGTGACGCCTCAGCCACACTGCCGTGCCCCGGGCTGCAGAGCAGGAAGCCGCGTCCGGGAAGCGCCGGGCCATCTTCCCGGTGCAGGAGTTGCCGTGAAAGCCAGGAAAAGATGCCCGTCTTTACCTGTGCGTTAGATTGCAGTTCTGGGTGTCTGAAGCACCAGTGTTTGTATCACTTTTTAATTTGCACTTTATTTTCCCCTCCCTCACTTTGTTCTCTGCACAGTTGGGGATTGAGTGATGGCCTGGGGGTGAGGAATGAGGCCTGGGGCGGCCTCTCTAGCCTTCCCCTCTCCTGCCCACATCGCCCCTCTGCGGTTTGCCCTTAGAGGAGTTGTGTTCACGTTCAGGGGAGCTGAAATTCAAAGGCCAGGGCACATCATTTATTTATTTAATTATGTTGCCCACAAAACTTGATTGTAAATAAAGAAAAATCTTATATACTTTTCAAACTCCTTGTCTCTGGGTGGTCATTTATTCTCCTTTGTCTTTAAGGATTGAGCTCCTTGATTTTCCTGGTGTCCATTTAAAAGCAGTGGGTGGTACTTCCCTAACGTCCCTCGTTGTTTCTCACGTCAGCCCCATTCCACTCGTCGTCTGTGCCTGTGAACAGCAGAGTTGAAGCTGCTGGTCACCACAGCCCTGCACTAGTGACGCAGAAGCCGTTGTTCAGAGCTCGTGCGTCTCCCCTCGGCCAAGCTCCTTGGGAGTGAGCAGCTTAGATACCCAACAGGCAGCCTGAGCCATGGCAGATTCTGATCGCCGCCCTGGAAGGACACTCGCCTGGCCCAGCTGCTGGAGTCAAGGTTCTCTGAGACCGCCGACACTCAGCATGACCGCTGGCCGAGCCCCCTGCGGTCACTACCCGGAGGCAGGTGAGCCTCAAAGTCGACCCCAGGTAAGTGTGGCAGCAGCCTCGGAGGAATCCTGACTGCTGGCTCTGCTTCTCTGAGCTCTCTGCCACAGTGAACTCCTCAGGTCCCTTAACTGCTGAGCTAACGGTGTGGGTCACACTACTGGGGAAGTGACTTCCTTTCTTCTTAACCCGTGCTCTCCACCTTCCTTGCCCTGCTGCAGGTTCCATTGGTCAGCAGGGAACCGCATAGCTGCTTTTTAATTTCCTGGGCAGTTTCTGCGGCTGTGCTTCCAGGTGTTTGGTGCCAGCGTGCACCTGGGTTGGGAGTGGCGTCTGCTACAAATACCTACTTTGATCCAGGTATTAACATATCTCAGAGTTGGAGGATTTTGAACCTTTACATGGATTTATATTGCCTGGGTTACTTCCTGGTACAGTATGAGAAGTTGAAGGCCTTGTTTTTAAAGCGTGTGTTGTGTGTGCACTGCCCTGTGTCGTCTGTGTTGTGAAGCCTCCTGCACCTTTCACGTCGTGGCCCACAGGAGATTAGGTCTGGGTGGACACTGCAGTAAGTGGACAAAGACTGGCTCAGCTGAGGACCCACCCTGGGAACTTGCACACTGCCGAGTGCACCAGAGTGCACCGGGCTGCCTTTGTGTCCACATCTACAGCACAGCAGTGGCTTCCGTTAACTGGACGTTTTGCAGTGTGGACGTTCCGCTCATCACCTGCGTGGGGCAGCAGAAGACAAGTGTTAACGGTGAGCTGCTGCCTTGTCCCAAGACTGCTTGCCGGGCTAGAGAAATCACAGACTTGTTTTTAGGAGGTGCCTCGGCTAGTCGATACTAAAAAACAGGGAGTCTGGCCTCACAGCTGAGTGAGGAGTTGTCTCATGTGAGCACCCTGGGCCTGCCCTGCTCCAGGCCCACAGGGGAGGGGGACACATCCAGAAAGCCTCCACTTTCCTAGATTCCACGTCTTCATCTACGGACTGAGGAAGTCTGGGATAGCATGAGGTGTCTGTGTCCTCGTAGGTTGGGTAAGCAGGTGTGGGGTATGTGGTTCTTGCCCATAGCCAGTAAGTCTGACCCACAAGGATTCTTAGCTGCCTCGACTCAGCAGACCTTGATTTCTGGCCTCCAGGAGCCCTGGCTTTTCATTCCTACCGCTTTCTGTCTGGCCTGTGCAATCCAGGCACTTCTGTTGTCTGTGCGCCCATCCGTGCATGCCTCCCTCCGGTGCTCCGCGCCCGTAGTGAATCTTCCCAGCATCGTGCCACCTTCACATTCGTCTCTCACCCTTGGCTGACGGCAGGCGTGGTGAGGACCTCCACATCAGGGCAGAGGCGGGACTTGAACAGGTCAGCAGCCCCGTAAGGAGTGCTTGCCCACCCCCACCCGGCCTTTGGTCAGTGTTGCTTCACGACTCCCAGAGTGCTTTTCCTCAGAGTATCTTGAAATGGGCTTCAGGTGTGTGTGTCGCGCCCATAACTCAGCGTGCACCTGTTGCATCAGTTCATGCCCCGGGTGGGAAGCTGTAGCCCTGCACAGAGCAGTGTGCCGAGCTTTGGATTTGCTCTGGCCTGGAGGAGAGGCAGGTGTGCTGGTGAGCCAGGCAGTAGGAAGACCCTTGCAAAGCATTCTGGTTTCTAGTACAAAGCCCTGAGTTCTGTTTCCCTCAGTGGTACAACATGGATGGTTCTGACAGAGGTCTCGGGAGCCGCCATATTCTCAGTACCCAACAGAATGGCACATACGGGGCAGTCGAGAAAATGTCTATCGGGGCGGGAGGGTGTGCATTTGGTTAAAGATGCCCCTTGGGGTACCTGCATCCCGTATCAGAGTGTGTGGGCTTGAGTCCCAGCTTCACATCCAACTCCAGCTTCCTCTAATGGGCACCTGAGGAGGCAGCAGGTGATGGCTGCAGTACTTGGATCTCTGCCACCCACACAGAAGACCTAGACGGGTTCCTAGCTCCTGGCTTCAGCTGGCCCAGCCCTAGCTGTTGGAGGTGTTTGGGGAGTGAACCAGTGGATGGAAGATTTCTGTCTCCCTGCCTTTCAAATAAAAAGTGTTACCTTTTAATTTGAAAGAGAGTTACAGAGAGAGGGAGAGACTGATAGACCTTCCATCCAAATCTGCTAGTTCACTCCTCAGATGGCCCCAGTGGCCAGGAGCCAGGAGCTTCCTCCAGGTCTCCTGCAAGGGTAGCAGGGCACAAACACCTGGACCATCCTCTGCTGCTTTTTCCAGGCCATTAGCAGGGAGCTGGATCAGAAATGGTGCAGCTGGGACATGAACAAGTGCCCATACAGGATGCCAGCTTCACAGGTGGCAACTTTACCCGCTACACCATGACAGCAGCCCCCAAAAATAAATTTTTTTAACATGAGAAACAGCAAACATTTTTAGAAGTTGTTTAGTAGAAGTTAATCTGAAAGACGGCCCCAGGATAGTGGATCAGAGCCAGCTAAAAGGAAGAGAGACAAAAGGGTGGAGAGTGATTTTAAACTAAATGAGAGGGTGAGCATTGTGGGACAGTGTATTAAGCTGCTTCTTGGGATGCTTGCATCCCACATTTGAGTGCCGGGTTCAAGTCCTGTCTCCTCCGCTTCCCATCCAGCTTTCTGTTAATGCACTTGTTAGGCAGTGGATGGTGACCCAAGTACTTTGGTTCCTGCCTCCTACACGAATTACCCAGGTAGAATTCCTGGTTCCTGGCTTCAGCCTGGTCTAGCCCTGGCTGTTGAAGATTTCTCTATCACTCTACCTTTTTAAATAAATCTTTAACTATATATGTGTGTGTGTTTTATGTGTGTATACACACATACTTTTTTTTTTTCAAAGATTTATTTTTATTATTTATTTGAAAGAGTTAGAGAAGGAGAGGCAGAGAGAGAAAAGTCTTCCATGCACTGGTTCACTCCCCAGTTGGCTGCAATGTGCGGAGCTGCGCCAATCCGAAGCCAGGAGCCAGGAGCCTATTCCAGGTCTCCCACGCAGGTGCAGGGGCCCAAGGACTTGGGCCGTCTTCTGCTTTCCCAGGCCATAGCAGAGAGCTGGATCAGAAGTAGAGCAGCCATGTCATGAACCAGCACCCATATGGGATGCCAGCACTGCAGGCAGTGGCTTTACCACTGTGGTGCTACACCACAGCACCAGCCCCCACCCGTATGTTTTAAAGACAAATGTTTGTAGAAATTTTGCTCTCTGTTATGAGCCTTATGTATCCTAGATCATAATATGAAACATGTTGTTTTAAAAGAATTTATTGAGATTCTCGTAAAAAAAATTTAAGTTTTAATTATTTGAAAGGCAGTTATGGGATGAGAGGGAGGGAGAGATGAAGAAAGAACGTCAGTCCACTGGTTCACTCCCCAAATGGCTGTAGTAACCAGGGATGAGCCAGGCTGAAGCCAGGAGCTACTTCCCTAGGCACATTATCAGAAAGCTGGATCAGAAGTAGAGCAGCTGGACTCAAACCAGTGCTCCTATTGGATGCCACCGTTGCAGGCAGTAGCTTAACCCACTGCGTTATAACCCAGCCCCCATGTAAACTATTTAAAATGAACAATTCAGTGTGCAGCCAGCAGCTCCAATTCCAACCGAAAAAGGGAGTCTGTGTTCCTCAGGCTCTTGATCTGTAGCAATGGGTCTATGTTGAAAAGTGGGCCTCTCGGCCAGTGCTGCGGCTCAATAGGCTAATCCTCCACCTGCAGTGACGGCACCCTGGGTTCTAGTCCCGGTCAGGGTGCCGGATTCTGTCCTGGTTGCTCCTCTTCCAGGCCAGCTCTCTGCTGTGGCCGGGAGTGCAGTGGAGGATGGCCCAAGTGCTTGGGCCCTGCACCCCATGGGAGACCAGGAGAAGCACCTGGCTCCTGGCTTCAGACCGTTCGCAGCGGCCATTGTGGGGTGAACCAACGGCAAAAAGGAAGACCTTTCTCTCTGTCTCTCTCACTGTCCACTCTGCCTATCAAAAAAGAAAAAAGAAAAGTCGCGTCTCCCCAGGAAAGACCCGTGTGTAATTGTGCATGCAACTTCAGGAGGCTCACAGGATCCGTTCACAGGCCTCGAACTGGCTGCCTCTTCGTTGAAACTCCCTTCAGTGTTGGGAGCCCACGGTGTAGACCTGCAGAAGGCCAAAGAAGCACACGGGACCGTCAGCCTCATATTTGGGGAGGGCAAGAGACGATCTTGATCAGCGTCTGCCTCCGCTCTGCACAGAACTCTAGACTTTAAAACCAAGGGCGGGGCAGAGTTTTATTTATTTGAAAGGTAGAGTACCAGAGAGATCTCCAACTGCTGGTTCACTCCCCAAATGGTTGCCACGACTGGGACTGTTCTGGGCCAAAGCCAAGAGTTCCATCCAGGTCTCCCACTCAGGTGCAGGGGCCCAAGCACGTGGGCCATCCTCTGCTGCTTTCCCAGGTGCATTAGCAGGGAGCTGGATGGGAAGCGGAGCAGCCAGGACTCAAGCTGGCGCTCTGATGTGAGGTGCTGGGGTCGCAAGCAGAGCTTACCCCACTGTGCCACCACACCACACCTTTTTAAGGGATTGATCTCCACATGACATGAATCCTCTCAGCCTTGCAGACAC